GGTGAGAGGCAGGAGAGTGCATGGAGGGAGTGGAGTGAGATGAGAGGGGAGAGGCAGGAGAGTGCATGGAGGGAGTGGAGTGAGATGAGAGGGAGAGAGGCAGGAGAGTGCGTGGAGGGGAGTGGAGTGAGATGAGAGGTAAGAGGTAGGAGAGTGCGTGCAAGGGAGTGGAGTGAGATGAGAGGGGAGGCGTGAGCGGTTGGGAGTCAGCGGAGAGTCTCGACAGCGGAGAGCTTCACCGTGGAGCCATGCGGTAGGGCTCCGGGTGCCGTGCCGAGAGATTCCGACTCCCCGTTCCTTCACCATCATCAGAGGCCTCTCCTCCCGGAGCGGCCTCTGCTCGGCTCATGGTGCCCAGCCCTGGTGGTTTGGTGCAGGCGGTCACATCGTGCGTCCCACCCTGACCGCTACGAGTTCACCCCCCCCCCCCCCTTGTTGTCTCCTGGCACGCAGGGCACCTGCCAAGGCCCGGAAATGGGCATCTGCTACTCCTGCTGCAGGCTCAGAGGGGGTTATGAGCAGCTGGACGGCGATGATGTGAGTCGTGACGATGACGAACACTGCGGTAACACCGCTTAGATATGCATTGTCATTTGCGTGAACATGTTAAACCTCGGTTTCACACGCGGTAGGCTTTCGCGACCAATATCATCCATAACACTGGTCAAAAAAAAAAATGATGGCATGGAGTTTTGCAGCTGTTTTAGACTAATTTCAGGGTGTTGATTCCAAATCTGATCTCAGATTTGCTCTATCACATCTCGTTTTTATGCTATCGGCATACCCCATTTTCATTGATTTTACCCTAAATTAACTCTGTCACTTATGATTGCAAGTTGTTGCGAGTCAGTGACTGCTTTAGTGTTAAAATATGGTGCTGTATTTTTAGGAAAGTGTGTTTATAATATCATTTTATGTAGATATCCACATTTATTTAATATTTTTCTTCTGCAGTTTTTATTGAAAATGCAATATTTGATATCTCAAAAACCTAGACAACCTAACCTTTTATTGATAGACAAAAACTGATGCCAGATTTGAAATCAGCACCCAAAAATTACCTTAAAACCGTTGGAATACCTTATGCCAGAAAAAGTGTGTTGACCAGCGTAATACATCGCGTAAATACAGGGTGTTTAAGAGAGACGGACCCAATTTCAAAGCAGTGTATTTCACGATGGCAACATGTCACAGTTACACAAACAGTTACAAACGGTTTAATGAGTTATCAAGTTTTACTAACCATTTTATAAATGCTCTGCGTGCCCTCCACCTGCTGTACGGACAACATCGAGACAATTGAATAATAATAGGGGTTTTCCCCTTTTTTCTGGCAACAAAACTGAAACCTTTTTACAAGGATTCATGTCTGCATTGACCACAATACTTGCAGTCAAAATGCAAACAAAAAACACACTATGATAATAAATGCATTGTCCTTGAAACTGATTGGTCCACACCAAGGGACGACTTTCTTTTGAGCCTCGACCCAATTGGTGCTAGACCAGAGGACGCCAAAAGGCGTACAGCTCAAAGACAATGCACTATCACAGTAACGAGGGCTCGGGGTGAGCATCTACATCATTAGACCTCCTTTGCCAGTACCAACATATAATAATAGGATTCACCCCCTTTTTTCTGGCAACAAAACTGAAACATTTTTACGAGGATTCATGTCTGCATTAACCACAATACTTGCAGTCAAAATGCAAACAAAAACACACTCTGATATTATAAAAAAAAGGGGAAACCCCTATTATTATATTTTGGTACTGGCAAAGGAGATCTAATGATGATCGAGACGATTGTTGAATTCGTCCCAAACGCCTCTCAAAGTGTCTGCTTCCACTGAAGTCACCGCTGCCGTGATTCTGTTTTTGAGGTCATCCAGATTAGTCGCTAACGGTGGCACAAAAACAACACGGTCTTTGACGTATTCTCACAAGAAAACGTCGCAGGGTGCGGTGACGTCTGGGGGTGATCTTGGGGGCCAAGAGTGTAGCGCCAAGTCTTGGGGTCCCGTGCGACCTATCCAACGTTGAGGCAGTGTTGTCTTGCGAATGACTGGCGCGGCTTATCGCATCCTTCCAATGATTGCTCAATCTGAATCCATCTTCTCGATTAAAGTTGTGTCTGTATATCTGGATGGCTTCGTGAACAAATCTCTGATGGTGGTCCCGAGGGGTTTGCAGAGCACCTTGGTCTCGGATAAAACAATGCCACGTGTGCCCACAGCGTTGAAACATGTGATCCGCCACCGCCGAGGTGTTGGTTCTGCTGTGTTTCAAATCCGCTTTGTGTTCGCGACCCCGGTCTGAGACACGTCGCTTCGTTTCACCAATGCAACTGCTGCCGCAGACACAACTCAGCTTAAATTTCGATTTGAAGCTTTCGTGACTGCAGGGATTCATCTTCTTGGTTCTTTCGGTAAAGTCACGTAGAAGGGAGATAATACAATAATAAAAATAAAACATAATAAAATAATACAATTCGCACTATTATTTTATTATGTTTTATTGTTATTATTTTATTATCTCCCTTCTACGTGACTTTACCGAAAGAACCAATAAGACAACTCAGCTTGGATGTCCTCAATCGCGTCCTTCACTGATGGGATCACCTGCAGTCACGAAAGCTTCAAATCAAAACCTATTCTTATTTTTTTATACTTTGCTGTTGCCAAAACAGGTCTCGTGGTATATACACACACACACACATTTGTCTAGACCGCAGTGGTGACACAGCTGACAGAATTCATAACCAGGCCCCCCCTTGCTGCCACTCGAACGCTCTCGCGCCGATGGTGAAACCTGCAGGGCCGGTCGGAGCGGGCCAGTGCAGGCTTCTGATTGCCAAAAGTGTGATTCCTCAGGAACGTTTTTAAAAAAATTCGTATATTGCCGCAAGCGGTCAACTGCATCCTGGTTTATTTGCTATTGAAATCACGCACGCATTGTTGCTATCGGTGGTCCCCCGAGATGCGATTATTACACTGTGTAACAGTGCAATGACCGCCTTTGTCTCCCCAGTGGCGATGTTTACACACCACGTACTCATTTCAGGCTGAGTTGACCTAGGGGAGCCCCAGCACCGGTTCAGATAATCGTCACCGGTGTTGGCCGTGAGCGGGAATCGAACCAGGGTCGCTAGGTTTTTAGCGGAGCGCGCAAACCGCTGCACTACCGCTATATATATACACAACAACAACACAACAACAACACAACAACAACAACCGCCATTCGCCACTAAGTGGCGGTGACGTCACCACGACGCTTGTGCCAGGCCATGTGCACCTTGAGGCCACGTGAAGTGTCGAACGCCCGCTGGCAGGAGGTCACGGGACAGACCCAGGTGCCACAGGTCGACTGACTGAGATGACTGAGATGACTGGCTGATGCACCACCTGTGCCCCCTACTGTGCCAACAACAACCGCCACTCGCCACTAAGTGGCGGTGACGTCACCACGACGCTTGTGCCAGGCCATGTGCACCTTGAGGCCACGTGAATTGTCGAACGCCCGCTGGCAGGAGGTCACGGGGCAGACCCAGGTGCCACGGGTCGACTGACTGAGATGACCGAGATGACTGGCTGATGTCACCGCCTGTGCCCCCTACTGTGCCAACAACAACCGCCATTCGCCACTAAGTGGCGGTGACGTCACCACGACGCTTGTGCCAGGCCATGTGCACCTTGAAGTCACGTGAATTGTCGAACGCCCGCTGGCAGTAGGTCACGGGGCAGACCCAGCAGGTGCCACGGGTCGACTGACTGAGATGACCGAGATGACTGGCTGATGCACCACCTGTGCCCCCTACTGTGCCAACACACATACACACAGGGTGCTTAATTTTTTTAAACACTTATACAGGACTATCGTTTTTAATGAAAAAATTACGGATAATAACACACTTTAACGTGATAACAAATGTGATGTTAATAGCTTCAAAAAAATCAAAGAGGCTCTCCCATACTCTTTGGTTCTTCCGATAAAGTCACGTGGGTATAAAACATAAAATACAAATTAAATCACAACGTTTCGATCGCAACATAAGCGACCGTCATCAGGTGGAACCGATACAGCAGGACAACTGCTGATTTAGGAGAAAGATCCGCTAACACTTCCAATCTAGAATGAGTCTCTCCCATTTGTTCTCCATCGTTGTCGACGCGTGCCTGGAATCTTCTCCAGGTGGTCTCCCGAGGTGGCACATTTCACGTGGTAATTGTTGCAAATTCTCAGAAGTGTTCACATTTGTTTGAAGCACCCCACGTGTATATATATATTTTTAAACATGTAAACTTTACCGAAAGAACCAAATAATAATTATAAATTTCGATTTAAAGCTTTCGTGACTGCAGGGATTCATCTTCTTGGTTCTTTCGGTAAAGTCACGTAGAAGGGAAGTAATAAAATAATACAAATAAAACATAAAATAATTCTCACGACGTTTCGGCCACAACGCAAGCAGCCGTCCTCAGGTGAAGGACGGCTGCATGCGTTGTGGCCGAAACGTCGTGAGAATTATTTTATTATGTTTTATTTTTTTTATTTTATTACTTCCCTTCTACGTGACTTTACCGAAAGAACCAAGAAGAATAATTATACACGTTAAATCAACTCTATTCTTGAAAGATCCTCGTCAAAAGCTGACGACGACGACGACGACGTTCCGCACCCCCCCCCTCCTCCAGAATCCAGGCGACCCCACGCCACCACCGGCCGGGACCCCCAGCGAGGGCGAAGGGCTACACGACCTGGGGATTCACCACGGCCACCTCAAGGTTCCTCTCGTGGATCTGGAGTCCCCCGGGTGGGAGGGCCGCCCGTCGACGAACTCGAACGGCCCCGCCGACCCCAGCCGCGCGGGGCCGTGTCCTCCACCGTGCCCCTCCGTCGATGTCCCCTCCGCTGGAGTCCCTGGCCAGACCCCTCGGGGTCCCGCTAAGGCGGCCCCGCAGCCGCAGCTGCAGCCACCGCCGCCACCGCCGCCGCCGCCACCGCCACAACCTCCCCCCATGCCTGGGATGCCGGACACGGCGAGGATTCCGCCGTGGCTCAAGGCCAAGAAGAAATACGACAAGAGGCGGGCGACCCGGCCTGTCAGGTGGCAGATGGTGGGTACCACACAGACAGAGATCCCCCCGTGTAGCCTCGACAGACTGTCGGGGCAAGTGCTGTTCGCGAGCAGTACCTATGAAGGGCGTAACGGTACACGAGGTGGGTGGGTGGCCAGCACCACGCCCTACCGCCATTGTCTCCCCAGGGGCGATGTTTACTACACACTGCACCAGGTACTCGTTTGAGGCTGAGTCGACCTAGGGGAGGCCCAGGACCGGTTCAGATAATTGTCAACAGCGTTGGCCGTGAGCGGGAATCGAACTCGGGACGCCGGGTTCGTAGCGCAGCGCGCTAACCACTACACTACCGCTCCCCAACACACAAGCATACACACACACCCACTCACCCACCCCCTCATCCACCACTCACCCACCCACCCACTCATCCACCACTCACTCACCCACCCCCTCATCCACCACTCACCCACCCACACGTGGTGAGTGCCGGTCCAATCCATTGTCAATCGTCGCCATCTCCATTCGCCAGCTCATGGTGACCACCTGATCGTTCTGCGCTCTTGAGTAGCTCATACTCACACACCCACTCACCTACTCAGCGGTCCACTGGCCTGGAACTCACCTACCCACTCGGTCACCTACTCACCCACCCACCCACTCACCTACCCACTCAGTCACCTACTCACCCATCCACTCACCTACTCACCTACCCGCTCACCTACTCAGCGGTCTGTTGGCGTGGAACTCACCTACCCACTTAGTCACCTACTCACCCACCCACCCACTCACCTATTCACTCACTCACCTACTCACCCATCCACTCACCTACTCACCCACCGGCTCATATACTCAGCGGTAACATTGGCCAGGAACTCACCTACCCTCTCACTCACCTACTGACCCACCCACTCACTTACTCACCTACCCAATCACTCACCTACTCACCCGCCCACTCACCTACTCATACCCACCCACTCATCTACTCATACCCACTCACTCACCTACTCACCCGCCCACTCACCTCTGTGTGTGTCTCTCTGCCCGTGCGGCGTTCTGGCCGCAGATCGCCCCCAGCGCCATGGAGAGGAGGAGTGTGTGGAGCAGAGCCGACGAGGCACGATTCGACAGCCCCCAGTTCCAGGCACAGCTCCTGCGGGCATTCGCGGGTCAGAGCTGGGGCAGTTCGACGTCCGGGGGGGGCGGGGGGGGTCATAGTGCCACGAGGTCATCGTGTCACCGGGTCATTTGTAATCACCTGGTCGCAGTTCCACGACGGAATTTGCTTTTGTGTTTTCACGGGGTCATGGCAACTCTCACGGGGGTATTGGTATGATGGGGTCATGGGTCAGATTCTCACGGGGATATTGGTATAATGGGGTCATGGGTCAGATTCTCAAGGGGGTATTAGTATAACGGGGTCATGGGTCAGATTCTCACGGGGGTATTGGTATAACGGGGTCATGGGTCAGATTCTCACGGGGGTAGTGGTATAACGGGGTCATGGGTCAGATTCTCACGGGGGTAGTGGTATAACGGGGTCATGGGTCAGATTCTCACGGGGGTATTGGTATAACGGGGTCATGGGTCATATTTTCACGGGAGTATTGGTATAACGGGGTCATGGGTCAGATTCTCACGGGGGTAGTGGTATAACGGGGTCATGGGTCAGATTCTCACGGGGATATTGGTATAACGGGGTCATGGGTCAAATTATCACGGGTGAATTGGTATAATGAGGTCATGGGTCAGATTCTCACGGGGGTATTGGTATAATGGGGTCATGGGTCAGATTCTCACGGGGGTATTGGTATAACGGGGTCATGAGTCAGATTCTCACGGGGGTATTGGTATAACGGGGTCAGAGGTCAGATTCTCACGGGGATATTGGTATAATGGGGTCATGGGTCAGATTCTCACGGGGGTATTGGTATAATGGGGTCATGGGTCAGATTTTCACGGGAGTTTTGGTATAACGGGTTCATGGGTCAGATTCCCACGAGGGTATTGGTATAACGGGGTCATGGGTCAGATTCTCACGGGAGTATTGGTATAACGGGTTCATGGGTCAGATTCTCACGAGGGTATTGGTATAACGGGGTCATGGGTCAGATTCTCACGAGGGTATTGGTATAACGGGGTCATGGACCAGATTCTCACTGGGATATTGGTATAACGGGGTCATGGGTCAAATTATCACGGGTGAATTGGTATAATGAGGTCATGGGTCAGATTCTCACGGGGGTATTGGTATAATGGGGTCATGGGTCAGATTCTCACGGGGGTATTGGTATAACGGGGTCATGGGTCAGATTCTCACGAGGGTATTGGTATAACGGGGTTATGGGTCAGATTCTCACGGGAGTATTGGTATAACGGGTTCATGGGTCAGATTCTCACGAGGGTATTGGTATAACGGGTTCATGCGTCAGATTCTCACGAGGGTATTGGTATAACGGGGTCATGGACCAGATTCTCACTGGGATATTGGTATAACGGGGTCATGGGTCAAATTATCACGGGTGAATTGGTATAATGAGGTCATGGGTCAGATTCTCACGGGGGTATTGGTATAATGGGGTCATGGGTCAGATTCTCACGGGGGTATTGGTATAACGGGGTTATGAGTCATATTCTCACGGGGGTATTGATATAACGAGGTCATGGGTCAGATTCTCACGGGGATATTGGTATAATGGGGTCATGGATCAGATTCTCACGGGGGTATTGGTATAACGGGGTCATGGGTCAGATTATCACGAAGATATTGGTATCACGGGTTCATCTGGTCATGGATTGCAGTGGGGCAATCATCTCGTGGTGGCTAGGAGATGTTAACTCTATCTTCTGGTATGCAGGAGGTCGTGAGTTCAATCTCGACCCTGACACCTGCTGTATATTTGGAGTTTGCATGTTGCAGTCTAGGTCCTCCAGTTTTCCCCTCCACATTTAAAATCGACATCACGGTTTAGAGTGTTTGGCCGCTATACATTTCCGCGCGTTAAGCCCACTTTGTTGAGCTATCATTTGTGGCCGGTTCGCTTCTGAGAAAAAAAAATCTACATAGCTCAGTGGGGCCTTACCTGGTAAAAATAAAAAAAACAAAATCGCTTCGTTGAAATAGTTCAACAGCTTAATTACTCACGTTTTCAGAAGGGCGCTGAAGATCCAACGAAAAGGGCTACGGAGCGCCGTGTCCAGGATTTAAGTCCCGTTGGTTCTTCGCTTCTTTCTCAACGGCGGTGTGACGAGCGCGCCTCGTCCCAGTCCCGGCCTGCCCGCCAAATCACACCGCGTTGCGTCCTCACTTCTCCATTGTCGCTGTCATCATCAGTCACCAGTCACGCTTGTAGCATAGGCCCCGGGCAGCCGGAGCGCCTCGGCTTCGGCTCAGGTAGACGACGAGGTGAGAGCGGTTGGGGAACTCGCGGTGTGCGGGCGCGACCGGTGTGATGATGACGACGATGGCGACTGCGGGGTCGTGTGGGTCTCGTGGTGACGGTGCCGCCACTGCTGCTGCCGTGTTGCAGCTAAGCAGCCCAGGGCCGGAGGGTCAACCGGAGCGACGTCTCTGCCAACTCCCGCGTCCCCCGCTGAGGCCTCATCGGTCTTCAGTAAAGACGTCTTGCAGAATTTTGGTGAGAGGGACAGCCATGAGCTCCCACCCCCACTCCTACCCCACTGCCCCCACTCCTACCCCACCACTCCTACCCCACCACCCCCACTCCTACCCCACCACCTCCACTCCTACCACACCACTCCTACCCCACCACCCCCACTCCTACCCCAGCACCTCCACTCCTACCCCACCACTCCGACCCCACCCCCCACCACTCCTACCCCACCACCCCCACTCCTACCCCACCACTCCGACCCCACCACTCCTACCCCACCACCCCGGGGCCCCGTGTCGCTCCCAGATTCGGGGAAACTCCCAAACAGCCGCCGAGGTGGCCAGGAGAGGTGAGACAGCAGCCGCCCCTAGGGGGTACAACGGCGAATCGGGGATGACTGCCCTGGGCCCCGCGCTGGGGGGGTCCCCCACTCCCCCCCCCCCCCCCCGCGCTTCGACGTCACGGCGTCAGATTTCAGGTTTAGTTTGAAGGCGTCGAGGGCGAAGGGTGGTGAGGGGGGGGGGGCACACGTCGTGATTTGCCCCGGGGCCAGTGGACGGCAGCGTGGCCAGCGGGTTCGCGAGCCCCCCGTCCCGCGTCGTCGCCCACCTTGAGCGGGGGGGGGGGTCATCATCTCCTTGACAAGCGGGTCGAACTCTCTCTCCGGGTTCTCCCGGTCGTGTCTCTTCCCCCCCCTCTACCCTGCCTCTACGCGAAGGGTCGGCGATCGAATTCGCGGAATTGACCGACCGTTCCAATGTAGCGCGGCACTGCATAGCGGCACTGTCGTGGACAAACAAAAACCCCAAAACGTCTTGGGATTCAGTGACGCCCTCCCGGACAAATACACGAGCCTATAAGCGAGGGGTCGTGACTGCGGTGATTATCCGACTCCCTGTCTCCTCTCATCCTGACCCGTCCCCCCCCCGCGCCCCCCGCCACCGCGCATGCAGACATCTTGACAAAGTCGGCGAAGGTGTCGTACGATGAGATCGCGAGGGCCACCCTGACGGGAGACATGGCCTCTCTCTCCCACATCAAAAGCATCAAGGTAAACCGAGCGGTCGCGGCACGTGCACCCTGCGCCTGTCACGTGCTCCACGTGTATGTCACGTGAGCCGGTGAGTCACGTGAGCTGTGGTGGCTAGGAGATGTTAACTACCTCGCCTGGTATACAGGAGGTCGCGGATTCGATCCCGACCATGACGATGCCTGCTGCTGTATATTTGGAGTTTGCGGTGTCTCTCTGATCATCACGCTGGCTAGGAGATGTTAACTCCATCGCCTGGTCTACAGCAGGTCACGGATTCGATCCCGACCCTGACGCCTGCTGCTGTATATTTGGAGTTTTCAAGTCTCTCTCTCTCCTCGCGGTCGTGTGTATTTACCCCCGGGTTTCTCCTCCACGGTTATAATTAACATCACGCGTTTTAGAGTATTCGGCTGCTGAAAATGTCTACGTGACGATGAACGGCCACTTCGTTGGGCTATCGCTCGTGGCCCAGGTCGCTTCTGAAAAAGAGCTTCATAGCTCAGTGGGGCTTTACCTCGGGGGGGGGGGGATAGTTTGAATAGTTTATTTCACGTGCTTGCTGGTGTGTCACGCTCGCCCCACCCGCGTGTGTGTGTCACGCGTGGGGGTGAGCTTGACAAAAGACAAAGATCCCCCATATAGCCTTAACAGACTGTAGGGGCAAGTGCTGTTAGCGAGCACCTATGAAGGCCGGAACGGTACACGAGGGGGTGGGTGGCCAGCACCACGCCCGACCGCCTTTGCCTCCCTAGTGGCAATGTTTACACACCGCACCAGGTACTCATTTGAGGCTGAGTCGACTTAGGGGAGGCCCGGGACCGGTTCAGATAATCGTCACTGATGTTGGCCATGAAAGGGAATCGAACCCGTGTCGCCGGGTTTATAGCGCAGCGCGCTAACCGCTACACCACCACTCCCCACAAGGGTGAGCTCGACACACACACACGCGCGTGACCCACGCGACCCGGGTTCGATTCCCACTCGCGGCCAACGCCAGTGACGATGATCTGAACCGGTCCTGGGCCTCCCCTAGGTCGACTCAGCCTCAAAATGAGTACCTGGTGCAATGTGTAAACATCGCCACCGGGGAGACGAAGGCGGCTGGGCGTGGTTCTGGCCACCCACCCCCCTCGTGTGCCACCGTGCCGGCCGTCATAGGTGCTGCTCGCTAACAGCACTTGCCCCAGCAGGTTGTTAAGGCCACACGGGGGATCTGTGTCCCGTGCGCCCACAGGGCCTGCTCGCATCGCTGCAGAAGATAAACGAGGAGGAGGAGCTGGCGCTGAGAGAGAGGCAAGGCCAGGGGGCCCCCCTGCAGCCCCCCGAGTTGTTCTACTTGCAGGTCGACATTCAAGTCTCCGTCTGCGTCGTCATTTCCCACCTAACCCCCTGCCCCCCGGTGCAAACCTGTCAACCCCTTATCAGTGCACCCTACCTTATTACAGACAAATTCAGACCTGGTTGGTCACCCCGTGCCCCTTAGAAATCTCAACGTTCATCCTACACAAAGTCGCATCACAAGGGAGAAACACAAACAAATAGACCCAACCACGTATTTATTTGGCCCGTATTGAAACGTCTGTACGCCGTATGGACCTGCAAACTCAATCTCTCCTGTACAAGAATACGGGCTAAACCGTACGGTTGTGACAGTATGGCGGCATCACTGCCGATCTGTCCTCTCGGCATCGACGTCACGATGGTAGTGGTGGTGGCTACCGCTGCACGCAGCCTGCCTGGAATCCTGCGCTGTGGGTAAGAGATCACCGCACAGACGTTGCGAACCTTCCTCCTGTCCTTGGGTGGAGCTTTTGAGGAGGTTCCGGCACCCCTCGTCTGGCAGGACAAGGCGGTTAGAGCGAGCGTGGACATCTGCAGTGGTATCGAGTGTTTCCCCCTCGCACAAGGCGTGGGATTCTCTCCGGATGCTCCGGTTTACCTCTCTCCCACCCCCCCCCCCCAAACTTGTATAATAAACACAACTCATTATGAGTTGGCTGAAAACATCGGAAAATAAAAAGCGAATGCAGGACCGCACCCCCTCCACTTCTGATCGACACTCTGTGTGGCTCTCCTAGATAAATACGTTAATTACTATTATTGGTAATCATACATTATTAAGTCATGAGTTAAAGTGTAAAGAAGCTCCTGCACAGGTTCCATTTTCTAGACTATTTATTTTACAGTAACGTATTTACAAGGCAAGAGTACGACTAACGGCTATGACTATCTGCAGCCCTGGTGGTTTACCACTAGATTAATCTCGAACAGTCCTTCTTGATGGTTTCCACCATGTAGATCTCGAACAGTCCTTCTTGATGGTTTCCACCATGTAGATCTCGTACAGTCCTTCTTGATGGTTTCTACCGTGTAGATCTCGGACAGTCTTTCTTGATGGTTTCCACCATATAGATCTTGGACAGTCTTTCTTGATGGTTTCCACCATCTAGATTTCAGACAGTCCTTCTTGATGGTTTCCACCATGTAGATCTCGGACTGTTTTTCTTGATGGTTTCCACCGTGTAGATCTCGGACAGTCTTTCTTGATGGTTTCCACCGTGTAGATCTCGGACAGTCTTTCTTGATGGTTTCCACCATCTAGATTTCAGACAGTCCTTCTTGATGGTTTCCACCGTGTAGATCTCGTACAGTCCTTCTTGATGGTTTCCACCGTGTAGATCTCGGACAGTTTTTCTTGATGGTTTCCACCTTGTAGATCTCGGACAGTCTTTCTTGATGGTTTCTACCATCTAGATTTCAGACAGTCTTTCTTGATGGTTTCTACCGTGTAGATCTCGGACAGTCTTTCTTGATGGTTTCTACCAAATAGATCTCGGACAGTCCTTCTTGATGGTTTCCACCATGTAGATCTCGGACAGTCCTTCTTGATGGTTTCCACCGTGTAGATATCGTACAGGCCTTCTTGATGGTTTCCACCGTGTAGATCTCGGACAGTCCTTCTTGATGGTTTCTACAATGTAGATCTCAGAAGTCTTTCTTAATGGTTTCCACCATCTAGATTTCAGACAGTCTTTCTTGATGGTTTCTACCGTGTAGATCTCGGACAGTCTTTCTTTATGGTTTCTACCAAATATATCTCGGACAGTTCTTCTGGATGGTTTCCACCATGTAGATCTCGGACAGTCCTTCTGGATGTAGATCTCGGACAGTCCTTCTGGATGGTTTCCACCACGTAGATCTCAGACAGTCCTTCTTGATGGTTTCTACCATGTTGATCTCGCACAGTCTTTCTTGATGGTTTCCACTATGTAGATCTCGGACAGTCCCTCTGGATGGTTTCCACCATGCAGATCTTGGACAGTCTTTCTTGATGGTTTCCACCATGCAGATCTTGGACAGTCTTTCTTGATGGTTTCCACCATCTAGATTTCAGACAGTCCTTCTTGATGGTTTCCACCATGTAGATCTCGGACAGTTTTTCTTGATGGTTTCCACCGTGTAGATCTCGGACAGTCTTTCTTGATGGTTTCCACCGTGTAGATCTCGGACAGTCTTTCTTGATGGTTTCCACCATCTAGATTTCAGACAGTCCTTCTTGATGGTTTCCACCGTGTAGATCTCGTACAGTCCTTCTTGATGGTTTCCACCGTGTAGATCTCGGACAGTTTTTCTTGATGGTTTCCACCTTGTAGATCTCGGACAGTCTTTCTTGATGGTTTCTACCATCTAGATTTCAGACAGTCTTTCTTGATGGTTTCTACCGTGTAGATCTCGGACAGTCTTTCTTGATGGTTTCTACCAAATAGATCTCGGACAGTCCTTCTTGATGGTTTCCACCATGTAGATCTCGGACAGTCCTTCTTGATGGTTTCCACCGTGTAGATATTGTACAGGCCTTCTTGATGGTTTCCACCGTGTAGATCTCGGACAGTCCTTCTTGATGGTTTCTACAATGTAGATCTCAGAAGTCTTTCTTAATGGTTTCCACCATCTAGATTTCAGACAGTCTTTCTTGATGGTTTCTACCGTGTAGATCTCGGACAGTCTTTCTTTATGGTTTCTACCAAATATATCTCGGACAGTTCTTCTGGATGGTTTCCACCATGTAGATCTCGGACAGTCCTTCTGGATGTAGATCTCGGACAGTCCTTCTGGATGGTTTCCACCACGTAGATCTCAGACAGTCCTTCTTGATGGTTTCTACCATGTTGATCTCGCACAGTCTTTCTTGATGGTTTCCACTATGTAGATCTCGGACAGTCCCTCTGGATGGTTTCCACCATGCAGATCTTGGACAGTCTTTCTTGATGGTTTCCACCATGCAGATCTTGGACAGTCTTTCTTGATGGTTTCCACCATGCAGATCTTGGACAGTCTTTCTTGATGGTTTCCACCATGTAGATCTCGGAGAGTCTTTCTTGATGGTTTCCATCATGTAGATCCTGGACAGTCTTTCTTGATGGTTTCCACCATGTAGATCTCGGAGAGTTTTTCTTGATGGTTTCCATCATGTAGATCCCGGACAGTCCTTCTTGATGGTTTCCACCATGCAGATCTTGGACAGTCCTTCTTGATGGTTTCCACCATGTAGATCTCGGAGAGTTTTTCTTGATGGTTTCCATCATGTAGATCTCGGGCAGTCCTTCTTGATGGTTTCTACAATGTAGATCTCGAACAGTCCTTGATGGTTTCTACCATCTAGATGTCGGTCAGTCCTTCTTGATGGTTTCCACTGTGTAGATCTCGAACAGTTCTTCTTGATGGTTTCCACCATGTAGATCTCGGAGAGTCTTTCCTGATGGTTTCCACCGTGTAGATCTCGGACAGTCTTTCTTGATGGTTTCTACCAAATAGATCTCGGACAGTCTTTCTTGATGGTTTCTACCACGTAGATATCGGACAGTCCCTCTGGATGGTTTCTACCGTGTAGATCTCAGACAGTTTTTTTTGATGATTTCTACCATGTAGATCTCGAACAGTTGGCCCGATGGTTTCCACGATGTCGATCTCCAACAGTGGTTGTGCCGCGCGTGTCTCTGTGTCCCCGCGGTTGTGCTGCTCGTGACCCTGTGGCCGTGTGACCTCAGCTCGTGGACGAGGGCCACCTGTCGGAGCGCCTGCGCTGCCTGCTCTTCCACTTCACCCGCGCCGAGGTGCTCGACCAGGCTCGGAAAGAGCAGGAGGTCGTGCTCGCGGCCCTGAGCGCGGTCGTCTCCAGCCAAGGCCTGACCCAGCTGACCCAGCTGCTCCTCTTCATCCTCAACTTCCTGAACGAGGGCCCCACCTCGTCGCCTGCCTATGGATTCAACCTCTGCGACATCGACAAGGTCTCACGGGGAGGGGGCGGGGGGTAACCATTGGGGGGAGGGCGAGGGGGTCATGGGTCAATTAGGGCGATCCAGGTGGCGAGATGTTAACTACCTCGCCTTGTTTACAGAAGCTCGTGGGTTCAATCCCGACCGCGACGCCAGTATATTGTGAGTTTGCATGTTTTCCTCTTGGTTAAGTGGATTTTTCTCCGGGTCCTCCGGGTTTTCCCTCCACATTCAGAAACATGCATTTAGAGTATTTGGCTGATGTACATTTCCACGTGGTAAGCCACTTCGTTTGGCTATCATTTGTGGCCAGCTCGCTTCTGAATAAATATTTAAAAAATACGATTTTTTTTAAACACGCTTTAATGAAATGTAGCGTACGAGTAATAGCAGAACTCCACGACTCCAGGAACTGGCCCTGCAGCTTGCCATAACGTAAGGGAACGTCCCCCCTGGCCAACTCCGAGCTGCCCCTCTTCGTGCCCCCTTCCCCCATCGCCTCTCCCCTACTTCCACATCCCCCGCCCCTCGGCGTGGCTCCCCGAAGCTTGCCATAACGTAAGGGACCGTGGTGATTTACAGCCAACGTGAGTTGAGCGTGGACAATTATACCCGTAAAAAGATAGTTTAAAATATATATTTAACATTTTTAATGATAGAATATAGTATTGTCATCAGTATGACATACCTATACCAAGTTTGCAGTCGATGCGACATTGGGAAGACGGTTGAAATTGAGTTACAAGATTTGAGGATACGACAACAGACATTGTGAGTTAAATAAAAGCGTGTACAATGAACTCTGTAGCTCAGTGGGCCTTACCTGCTGAACTAACAATTGTAAAATAGCAAGTAGCCTCCTGTATTCGTGCAGTGCGCTTCACATGTCAGAATACTTTTACAGAATATGAAATGTACACGACTGCCCAGCTCGTTGGCGGCGCGTGAATTAAGCGACTTAATCCCAAAAGCGCCCTTAACTGTGGTCTAATGACAGGGGGGCATTCCTCCTGCAGTATTTATACTGCAGGAGGAATCCTATGAGCTATAAAGCTTTTTTTCACAGAAGTCCAGTAGGGGTGGGTAAGAAAGTTTACGAGAAGATTTACCTCGGGAGATTTTTTTTTCTTCGGCATTGGGATGTTCGCATCATCACCAAAAAAAGAGAAAAAAAACCATGGAAAAGAGATTGAGAATCCCGGAGGAAAGCCATGCAGAGCCGGTGAGAGAGTTCACAAACTCCACACAAAAAATGTGCCCGAGTCAAGAATGGAACCTAGGGCATTCTCTGCCTTGAGGCGTGTGTGTTACCACTGCGCCACCCTGCATGCAGAGGCAGGGAGGGGGGGGTGGAGAGAGTGGTGAGGGAGGGACGGGGGTTGGAGGGGGGGGGACGCTGGCACCCAGCCGGCTCCTAACTTGCCAGTGCTGTCGCCCCAACAGATCAACTCCGTGAGGATGACGGATCCTGCTGAGGGCGGCACCCTCCTGGACCTGGTGGTCAGAGAATGCCAGAAATCCCACCCCGACATCCTCAACGTCATCACGGAGCTCGAGCCTGTTGACAAAGCCACAGGAGGTGCCCGACGGGCCTACCTGCACGCCGCCACAACAGCCTAGGACTCGCCTACTTCTTTGCTAATCGTCTAGATCTCTGGCCCACCATCTCCCTCTCCCACCAATCCATTTGCCTCTCGCTCATGTACGTCTCTGGTTCACAAGCTCACTCGCTCGTTGATCCATCGCTGTGATGCTCGCTCATTCACACGTCCGCTGTCCCAGTGCAGTTGGCGAGACAGGCCACGCGAGAGGCTTCAGTGTCGACGGAGTTTCCATTTCCCTTTTCGTATCGCCGTGAGAGCGTGGTCGTGCGTGGAGCGGTGGGTGGGGGGCGGTGACGGAGGTTGTGACGACATTGTGACGACATCGTGACGACATTGTGACGACGTTGTGACGACATTGTGACGACGTTGTGACGACATTGTGACGACATTGTGATGACATTGTGACGACATTGTGACGACGTTGTGACGACATCGTGACGACATTGTGACGACATTGTGATGACATTGTGACGACATTGTGACGACATTGTGACGACATCGTGACGACATTCTGACGACATTGTGATGACATTGTGACGACATTGTGACGACATTGTGACGACGTTGTGACGACATCGTGACGACATTGTGACGACATTGTGATGACATTGTGACGACATTGTGATGACATTGTAACGACATTGTGACGACATTGTGATGACATTGTGACGACATTGTGACGACATTGTAACGACATTGTGACGACATTGTGACGACATTGTGACGACATTGTGACGACATTGTGATGACATTGTAACGACATTGTAACGACATTGTGACGACATTGTGACGACATTGTGATGACATTGTAACGACATTGTAACGACATTGTGACGACATTGTGACTACATTGTAAAGACATTGTGACGACATTGTGACGACACCGTGGGGACATTGTGACGATGTCGACTTCTCTCCACAGCCGACGAGAAGAATCGGAAATCGGCGATCCAGTCTTTCCGGGCGGAAATCACGAAACTGGAATGCGACCTTGACTCGTTGCCGGACGCCGAGCCCCACCGGGCGTTCTCCAAAACGATGCTCATATCCTTCTCAACGGATTGGTTGGAGTGTTGTGACATTAGACATGGCTATCCATTGTAATTTGCAATGGATACCCATTACCATATACACGCAGTCATTAATCCCGCGACCTCTTCGCACAAGAAGGGCTTACAGGTGACGTCATATAAATGCGTCGTGAACCCGCCACCACCCGACGCAGCCAATTAGTAACGGGTTGTCACGTAAACAACAATGTGCCAATTAGTTACTAGTACAGCACACCAGTTGTGTGTTGGAGAGTAAACCCACTACGACATTTACAGAGTGCTGTGACGTTCCGCTGGTGTTTGCAACAACCAGCCCCCATCAGGCCATTTACCTGTTCAGTTGAGTTCATTTATTAGGTATAACCCTGTGAGCCATGCGGCTCTTGACTCGAGTGCAACCGCAACAAAACAAAAACATGAACAAGAAACATCTTAAAGTGATTACACGCAACAGAAAAATCCTGGAAAAAACAGCAAATTATTCCAGAAAAAACACCGTATTTCAACGCTCGGGGCTGGTTCAGGGCGAACAGCGATTCCATTGGCCCAAGTCGATTCTTTATGCCCACGATGTGTTCACAGAACGAGTCTCGCACACACCCACACTCACTCACTCATTGTTCACGACGTTTGTTTACGAATGTTTACGAGCCCTCCGCTGGGCCGGTGCCTCGCGTGACCGTTTATCCGTCGACGGAGGTGTCCCCCCAAGCGCGCGTTGCCGCTCGTCGACAAACGCCACTCCTAGCCTAGGAGTCACCGTGACCCCCGCGTGACCCCGCGTGACCCCCACGTGACCTCCGCGTGACCCCCGCGTGACCTCCGCGTGACCCACGCATGACCCCCGCGTGACCCCCATGTGACCCCCACGTGACCCCCGCGTGACCCCCCTTGACCCCGTGGCACCCGCTGCTTCAGGAGTGGACGCAGAAGGTGGAGCTGCTGGAGAGGGGCGAGGGCGAGATCGGGGCCGAGTGGGAGAGGCTGAGGGTGAAGTTCAGCCTGAAGGGAGAGACGCCCAAGCCGCTCCTCTCCAGCCTCGCCACGTTCCGCGGGGACTTCAAGGTGCGTGGACACTTCACTCGCCTCCCCCAATCCCTCCACGCCCTCCCCTGCATGAGCCAAGCGGTGGGCTATGGCTAGTTCTGCCAGCACCGGCTGCACACAGGATTCCGCGGGGCAAAGCTGATGGCCGCTCGCAGGCCGGAACTTGCGTTCGGCTTGTGCTGCGCAGGAACAGCTGCCGCCAGGGGGTCCCCTTGGCCGGACCGCAGCAGCAGGGCATTGAAACGGTTAGTCTATGAGCAGTGTTGAGTCTATGGGCAGTGTTGAGTCTATGGGCAGTGTTGAGTCTATGGGTAGTGTTAGTCTATGGGCAGTGTTGAGTCTGTGGGCAGTGTTAGTCTATGGGTAGTGTTGAGTCTATGGGTAGTGTTGAGTCTATGGGCAGTGGTGAGTCTATGGGCCTCTCCCTCGCCCTCCCCTGCATTGGTCACGCGGGGCTGAAGCTCGCATGGCCGGCACTTGCGTTCAGCTTGTGTTGCGCTTGTGTTCGGCTTGGGGGCCGTTCATAAATGACGTCACGCACCTAGGGGGGGGTGGGTCAGACATTTGTGACGATGTGTGACGAGGGGGGGGTGTTGAGAAATGTGACGTCGCATCAAAATGCGCAACTTTAAATGAATACTAGCTGTACTACCCGGCTTCGCCCGGGACTTGTATCTACCACGGCCGGCCGCCTTTGTCTCCCCAGTGGCGATGTTAATACGCTACAGTAGTTAAGTTACTCGTTTGAGGCAGAGTCGACTTAGGGGAGGTTCAAATAATCGTCACCGGTGGTGGCCGTGAGCGGGAATCGAACTGGGTTTGCCGGGTTGGTAGCGCAGCGTAGCGTTAAGCACTACACCCACCGCTCCTCACACACCACACACGCACAGACACACGCACAGACACACACACAGACACACGCAGACACACACAGACAGAAACACACACACAGACAGCACGCTAACCACTACACTACCGCTCCCCACACACCACACACGCACACACACAGACACACACACAGACACACACACAGACACACACACACAGACACACACACACAGACACAGGCAGCACGCTAAGCACTACACTACCGTTCCCCCTACACAACACACGCGCGCGCGTCCATAGGTACACATACACGCGCTTGCTGCAGACACACACGACTTTCAGGGTGCATACGGCAGTAAACGACTGAAATAATAAAGCGGCAATGCTGTGTAAGGAACGCCTTAGACCCGCATTATACATTTGTGTAATGCGAGCGTAAACACACAAACACACACAAACACATACACAATACACACACACATACATGCAGACACACAGACAGCCACATAACACACATACATACACACACATACAAACACAGAAACACATACACACACATACATAGACACACACATACATACACACAAACACATCCACAGACGTACATACACACATGCATACAGGCACGCAGACATACACATAAACACATACAAAAAACCCACATACATACACACACACATACATACACACAAACACATGCACACACATACATACACACATGCATACAGACACACAGACATACACATAAACACATACACACATACACATGACCCGGCTTCGCCCGGGACTTGGATCCACCACGGCGGCAAAACCGACATACATACACACACAGACATACACACAAACACATACACACACATACATACACACATGCATACAGACACACAGACATACACATAAACACATACACATGACCCGGCTTCGCCCGGGACTTGGATCTACCACGCCCAGCCGCCTTTGTCTCCCAAGTGCCGATGTTAATACGCCACACCAGTTACTCGTTTGAGGCTGAGTGGACCTAGGGGAGGTTCAAATAATCGTCACCGGTGGTGGCCGTGAGCGGGAATGGAACTGGGTTCGCCGGGTTGGTAGCGCAGCGTAGCGTTAAGCACTACACCCACCGCTCCTCACACACCACACACGCACAGACACACACACAGACACACGCAGACACAGACAGACACAGACAGACACACACACACACAGACACACAGACAGCACGCTAAGCACTACACTACCGCTCCCCACACACCACACACGCACACACACAGACACACACACAGACACACGCAGACACACACAGACAGACACAGACAGACACAACAACAACAACAACCGCCATTCGCCACTAAGTGGCGGTGACGTCACCACGATGCTTGTGCCAGGCCAAGTGCACCTTGAGGCCACGTGAAGTGTCGAAAGCCCGCTGGCAGGAGGTCACGGGGCAGACCCAGGTGCCACTGGTCGACTGACCGAGATGACCGAGATGACTGGCTGATGCACCACCTGTGCCCCCTACTGTGCCAACTTGCTGTGCTTTAGCCACCCGGCGCTCCGCTCGTTGTTGTGAGCGTCGCTCCTCCGCCCTCCGTTGTTGTTGGAGGGCGACTGCCTCCAACTGCCCAGTAGCGTCCTTCACGAGCCTCCTCCACTGAGGCCGATCTTGACACCGCTGGTACCAGTCATCGGCAAGTCCACTCAGCTCCACGTCCTCCTGTACCACATCACTCCATCTCTTCTCCAGCCCGTGCCGCGCCCGTCTAGCCCCCTCGATCCGGCCGAACAAAAGCTGTTTAGGCATGCGGTGGCTGGGCATGCGGGCTACATGACCCAGCCAACGCAGCCTTGCCTGCCGGAGGAGCTCACTGATGGGACTTTGCCCAGATCTTTCAAGGATTTGTGAGCTCCTCACACAATCCAGCCTGGTTAAACCCAGGATGGATCGTAGGCAGGCCAGCCTAAATGTTTCCAACCGGCGAAGATGCTCCACCAGGGGGGTCCACGTCTCGCAAGCGTAGAGAAGGGAGGGAATGACCGTGGCCGAGAAGACCTGAAGCTTCGTGCGGAGCGACAGACCAGGTAGCTTCCACACAGCGTTACGCAACCGATGAAAAGATATTGCCGCTCGACTGATTCGGAGTGAGACCTCTGCTGATAGACTGGAGCCGGTCATAAGCATACTGCCCAGGTATGGGAAACTCTCCACTCTCTCCACAACTGCCCCATCACCAATTGGGAGTTGTGGGGGTGGAGTGTCCGATGGTACAAAATACCCAGGCAGGTGCTTGGTTTTGGTGGGGCTGATGGTAAGGCCCCACCTCTTAGTGGCACGCTCCAGTCTCAGCAGCAGCGCCTCCAACTCCTCTTCTGAATGAGCAGCTATTACCAAATCATCGGCATACATAACGTGGTTGACCAATAGGGAGCCATCCCTTGATCGCACCCGGGCGTCGATCAGCCTCCCATTATATCTGTACCAAACGGAAATTCCCCCGGTACAGCTATTGAAGGCTTCACGAACTACGCGGTCAAAATAGATGTTAAATAATGTGGGAGCCAGAGGACATCCCTGTCGCACCCCAAGGTGTACAGGGAAAGGCTCCGACTCCCGGCCACGTAGTTTTACCCGGGCCCGCTCACCATCATGAAGGTCCTTAATGATCGTGAGCAGAGGGTCAGGGACTCCGAAAGCACGAAGAACAACCCAGAGTCCAGTCCTACTGATGGTATCATAGGCCTTGACCAGGTCAATAAAGCAGAGATGTAGGTCTTTTTGGAATTCCCTACACCTCTGCTGTAGCAGACGGACAGAAAATATGGCATCTGTGCAGGACCGCCCTTTCCTGAAACCGCATTGGGGCTCCGCAAGCCCCTCCTCAGCGTGCCTAGCAAGGCGATGTTGAATAATCCTTGCCAGGACCTTACCCGGCACACTGAGGAGTGAGATGCCCCTGTAGTTGTTACAGTCTGTGCGGTCCCCCTTCTTAAAGAGGGGGACCACCAGGGCATCCTTCCAGTCCTGCGGAACCCGTCCAGTGGTCCAGACTGTTGTTATGATGTCATATAGGGCAGTCTGTGCACAAACGCCACCCTCCCTCAGCATTTCGCTTGGGAGATCATCTCTGCCCGGTGCCTTCCCTGGTCTCAGACTCCGGATCGCCCTCAGTACTTCCTCAACAGCTGGAACCTCAGCCAGCCACTCACAGGGGGTGACCTCTTCCAATATTTGAGGCACCGCAGCCTCAGCAGGGTTATCCCCACTTTGTGCCATGATGTTTTCCTGGCTGAGAGAATTTCCCTCCCCCAGGACCTCACAGAAATGCTCAGAAAATCTGCAAACCTGTTCCTGGGGGTCGGAGATTGGATCACCGTTTTTTCCTCTAATGATGGTAATAGGTGTGGCGCTGCAGGTTACTTTTTTGATGGAGTTAAATAGTGATTTGTGATCACGGGCCACTGAGGCAGACTCCATCTCCTCAGCAACCCGCGACCACCACCCATCCTTACAACGCCTTACGGCTCTCCGAACTTCCGAGCGAAGGCTGCGGTAAACCTCCTCATTCTCTGACGTGGGATGCTGTAGGCGATGAGAGTGGGCCTGTCGCTTTTTCTCAATTAACCTGAACACCTCCTCTGTCAGCCAGGGTTTCTGGGGAGGTCTGGACCGCGTACCCAAAGCAGCCATTGCAGCTGCATGAGTCACAGTCTTAAACCTCGCCCATTTACCCTCGACATCAGGTGGAGTGGGGGACGATGCCAACCCCAGCTGCAAGCGATGATGAAATTCTCGCTTGCAACTTTCATCAGCTAACTGAGACCAGGCCACTTTTGGTTGGAATGGGATCCTGGGTGTACACCCACCACCGGAGTGGAAGAAAGGCAGGCGCATCTTACAGTCGATGGTCAGAGGACAGATCAGCTCCACGGTAGGTCCTGGTGTCAAGGACATGGGTTCGCATCCGCTGGTCCGTCACTATGTAGTCCAGCAGATGTTCTTGCTTGGACCCGGCATGTATCCATGATGTTGTGTGGATGCGCCGATGCCGGAAGAGCGTGTTGGTAATTACAAGCCCATGGGCTGCACAAAAATCTAGCAGCCTCCTACCGTTATTATTGAGCTGATCTGGCCCATGCCTTCCAATCACTCCAGACCAGGTGTCAGCATCATGACCAACTCGGGCATTGAAGTCACCCAACAAGATGACTCTGTCCCGAGTGGCCACTTTAGCCAGCACCTGTGACAGGAGGTCATAGAAAGCGTCTGACTCATCGGCTTTGCTTGCATCCCTCCACGGATGTTCGTCTTCGGTGGGGGCATAAGTAACCACGACCACCACTCCTCGCCTCTGGTTGATGGGAAGGCGAGCCCAAAGTATCCTGGGGCTTACAGCTTCCCACACCTCACCGCCACGCTCCCACGCCCCCTTCATTCTTTTGTTCAGAAGAAGAGCCACACCCTGTTGTTTGGCAGTCTCCTGCCCCGAGTAGAGGACTGTCCACCCCTCATGGTGGCAGGAGCCAGAACCGGTCCACCGGACCTCCTGAATGCCACAGAGATCCAGGCGGTACCGGTCCAGCTCCCGACAGAGGAGTGGCAGCCTCTCCTCCGCAGTGAGCGTTCGAACATTCCACGTGGCCATCCGCAATGGTTTTTTGTTGTTTCTGGAGGAGCCCCGAGGGTGAAAATTCAATCTCCTGGCTCCGCCAAATGGGGTTTGGCCAGGAGACGTCATAAAAGCCTGACCCCCCGGGGCCTCCGGCACAAGCTTATTTGTTACAGGTTTATGTTTAATTCGTGGTTTAGTGGTAATGAATTGAAGGTGGAGGGGTTACCAGCCCCTCACACCCGTCCAGAGCCCCCGTTTAGCCACTGTGGTGGTCACAGACGCCATGAGGGGAGAGGCCAATGGGCATTGGCCCTCCCCCCACAGCAATGTCCACGACAGTGTTGCCCGTCCGGCACCGCGAGGAGGTAGGAGGTTGTTTTGCCGGACAGACACACACACACAGACACAGACAGCACGCTAAGCACTACACTACCGTTCCCCCTACACAACACACGCGCGCGCGTCCATAGGTACACATACACGCGCTTGCTGCAGACACACACGACTTTCAGGGTGCGTAAGGCAGTAAACGACTGAAATAATAAAGCGGCAATGCTGTGCGAGGAACGCCTTAGACCAGCAACACATTTGTGTAATGCGAGCGTAAACACACAAACACATACAAACACATACACACACATACATACACACACATACACACAAACACATACACACAGACATACACATACACACAAACACACACATACATGCACACAAACACATACACAATACACACACACATACATGCAGACACAGACAGACATATAACACACATACATACACACACATACATAGACACACACATACATAGACACACACATACATACACACAAACACATGCACACACATACACACATACATAGAGACACGCAGACATACACATAAAGACATAAAAAAAACCCACATACATACACACACACATACACACAAACACATACATACACATACATACACACATACATAGAGACACACAGACATACACATAAACACAAACACACATACACATGACCCGGCTTCGCCCGGGACTTGGATCCACGATGCCCCGCCGCCTTTGTCTCCCCAGTGACGATGTTCACACACGACAGCAGTTACGCTTTTGAGGCTGAGTGGACCTAGGGGAGGGCCAGGTCCGTTTCAAATAATCGTCAGCGGTGGTGGGCGTGAGTTGGAATCGAACTGGGGTCGCTCAAGCAGCTTAATGACTGTTTGTACAAAGAACATATAAAGAATCGATTATAATAACCAGGCAAGAGTCCACATTATAGACTGCCAGTACACGCACTCAGCTTCATAAGCAGGCTAGAGTGTACATGATAGAGTGGCAGTACGCTCACCGAGCTTAATAAGCAGGCTACAGTGTACATGATAGACTGGCAGTACGCTCACCCAGCTTAATGAGTATTTGTACAGTGAACATTAAAGTAATCGATTGTTGGCGCGTTGGGTTTAAAAGTAATATTAATAGCACACATTGTGGTGGGGGTGTAGTGAAGAGTAGGAAAAACTTTGATGAATTTACCTCAGAGTGGCGTGGTGGGTGTCGAGGCCTAGTAGCGTGCAAAGCCTGCGGCCTCGCCTAAAATTGTCGGCTTGGAAGAGGCAGGGTACGGGTGGCGTTCCTTCCCCCCCCCCCTAGCGCTCCAACAATACTGTGTAATGGCTATTATTTAATTAAATACGGAGCTTATGAAAGTGGCGAAGGCGTGGCTAGCCGTTGGCAGGGGCAACCGCCGTCCAATGAAACTGCAGCCCTTGGCGAAGGCGTGGCTAGCCGTTGCCAGGTCCAATGAAAGCGGCGAAGGCGTGGCTAGCCGTTGCCAGGGGCAACCGCCGTCCAATGAAAGTGCGTATGGGCCAAAGTCCACACACACACACACAGACAGACAGACATGAACGATTTTATATATATAGATAGACAACACATTCTACTTAATTAAATAGACTTTTTGATAATTGTTTTCTCATACAACATCAGAGTGCAGCGGCACATTAAATACGCACCACAATGACAATAGTTGAAAGCGATTTGAAGCATGTTTTATTTTTATCGGGCGGGGAGGGGGGGCAGAGCTTTGTGACGTCATATTTGAGGGGGGGGGGTCTGACTTTTTGTGACGCCGTGTGACGATGGGTGGGGGGGGACAAAAATCGTCCAGACCGGACCACAGCAGCAGAGCTCTGGAACCTGTTGTGGATGAGTTTAAAGTTCAAGTTTCAAGTTCATGTATTAGGTATAGCCCTGTGAGTCATTCGGCTCTTGAATCGGGTGCAACCGCAACAAACAGAAAACAAAAACATGAACAAGAAAACATCTTAAAGTGACTAAGTGCAAACAGAAAATCCAAGAAAAGAAAACGGCAAAATATTGCAGAAAAAGCACCGTACGAGGCATCACGAGGCGGGGCCACACGCGCGTTCAGCTCCTCCGCGGTGACGCCGATTGTCTCCGGTGGCTTTTTGCGTCTTCATCCCCACCCACTCCACCCGCCTCCCCCCCCCGTTTATATTTCAGAAAGTCATGGACAAAAACAAGCGTCCGGGCTCGCGGAAGAAGAAAAATGAATCGGCGTGTTGAGAGCCGCGGCGTTTCCCTACGTGGAGACCGCGCCGGGTGGGGGGGGGGGGGTCATGGTCGCGGTGGAGAGGTCAAGAGGTCGAGAGGTCGAGACGCACTGGACGACTTGGGGCCCCCTGGAGGGGTCGATTCGATCCTGGGTCCACGCGACTGGTCGGTGAACGTCGATTTTAGATGTCCTCCACGAAGAGCCTCCTGCAATAATCCTCCCCCCCACACACCCCACCGTGCATTATGTCGGACAAACACACCGCATTAATTCAATTGAGAGCAAAACGGTGGCGACGATGTGGTTTTTTTTCCACAGATATAAGTTTACATGTAAAGGACACGTGATCCGTAGGGATCTTGTTCTGGGGTCGCGTTCTGTCCTCTGCGTGCGTTCATTGGTTCTCGGTCGTGGCTCTCAACCAATCAGAGATTGAGCCCTGCGTGCGGGTATTTGGGTGACTTTGGTGGCTTCATATGCGGAGGGTTCAGATGTGTGAAGGAGACGGGACAGCTTTTGTACTTCGTTATTTATGTTCTCCAGAACGACGCCAATGATTGTGTCGTGTTGTGGACAGCGCGCGGGTGGAGGTTTGGACGGTCGGCACGAACTCTGGGAATGACATTTATCTGGGAATGCCGTTTCCCAGAGTGTGGAAAAAGTCACGTGGATCAACATTTGTATCTGCTATGAAGAAGGGTCATTGCCCGAAACGTCGTCTGTATATTTCCTGCTCTTTTAAAGCCACAGTGTTATTGACGCGGAACGTGTTGAGTGTTTTGTTGTTGTTGTTGCTGTTGTCGTCTGCGCTCGGGCACCGCTGCCATCGCCACAACAGCAGCAGCATCGCCAGGTAACTTGTTCAAGTGTGTGGATTCGGGATTTTTGAAGGTGGAAGACTCAACCGGTGTCATCTCCAGCATCTCTGCGCGCGTGTGTGTGTGTCTGTGTGTGTGTGAGTGGGGAGCGGTGGTGCAGCGGTTAGCACTACGCTGCGCTACGAACCCGGTGACTCGGGTTCCATTCCCGCTCACGGCACAACAACGGTGACGATTATCTGAACCGGTGCCGGGCCTCCCCTAGGTCGACTCGGCCTCAAATGAGTACCAGGTGGGGCGTGTGAAAACATCACCACTGAGAAGACAAAGTTGCCCGGGCGTGTAGCTACTACACGTGTAGCTACAACACGTGTAGCAGCTACACGTGTTGTAGCTACTACTTATGTAGCTACTACACGTGTTGTAGCAACTGCACGTGTAGCTACTACACATGTAGTAGCTACTACCCCTGTACATATGTAGTAGCTACTACACGTGTAGCTACTGTACGTGTTGTAGCTACTACACGTGTAGCTACATGTGTAGTAACTACTACACGTGTAGCTACTACACGTGTTTCGATTTCGGTAAGTAAAAAGAAACAACAGCAGCAGTGCACTGTGGTGGTCCCTTAAATAGCCTCGGAGCCGCACGTTGCCGAACCCTGCCCATGGTAAACTGGATTTCCATGGTGAAGTGGGCTTCCATGGTAAACTGGACTCCCATGGTAAAGTGGGCTTCCATGGTAAACTGGATTTCCATGGTGAACTGGACTCCCATGGTAAACTGGACTTCCATGGTGAACTGGACTCCCATGGTGAAATGGACTACCATGGTGAACTGGGCTTCCATGGTGAACTGGACTCCCATGGTAAAGTGGACTTCCATGGTGAACTCGACTTCCATGGTGAACTGGACTCCCATGGTAAAGTGGACTCCCATGGTAAACTGGACTACCATGGTGAACTAGACTCCCATGGTAAACTGGACTACCATGGTGAACTGGACTCCCATGGTGAACTGGACTCCCATGGTGAACTAGACTCCCATGGTAAACTGGACTACCATGGTGAACTGGACTCCCATGGTGAACTGGACTTCCATGGTGAACTGGACTCCCATGGTGAACTAGACTCCCATGGTAAACTGGACTACCATGGTGAACTGGACTCCCATGGTGAACTGGACTTCCATGGTGAACTGGACTCCCATGGTGAACTAGACTCCCATGGTGAACTGGACTTCCATGGTGAACTGGACTCCCATGGTGAACTAGACTCCCATGGTGAACTGGACTCCCATGGTGAACTAGACTCCCATGGTGAACTGGACTTCCATGGTGAACTGGACTCCCATGGTAAACTAGACTTCCATGGTAGATTGGACTTCCATGGTGAACTAGACTTCCATGGTGAACTAGACTCCCATGGTGAACTAGACTTCCATGGTGAACTGGACTTCCACGGTAGATTGGACTTCCATGGTGAACTGAACTTCCATGGTGAACTGGACTTCCATGGTGAACTGGACTTCCATGGTGAACTGGACTTCCACGGTAGATTGGACTTCCATGGTGAACTCGACTTCCATGGTAAACTGGACTCCCATGGTGAACTGGACTTCCATGGTGAACTGGACTCCCACGGTAGATTGGACTTCCATGGTGAACTGGACTTCCATGGTGAACTGGACTTCCATGGTGAACTGGACTTCCATGGTGAACTGGACTTCCATGGCCAAGAGTCAGCAACCAAAATAACAAGAAAAACAATTTTTTCCCTCCATGAATAAAAAAAACCCCTTAAACATTTCAAGAGCCGCGATGCAGTTCGCTGACAGAGCCCTTTGCCCTGCACCGACCCGCCGTGCAGAATTGCGCGACATCCGTGCCCTTGGCAGGCCCTGGCCACCCGCGGCCCCTCTGCTCGTGCGCTCGCGTTCACACCGACTTGCACTTTTATCTTTACGAATGCACACAGCGGACATTGAATAACTTTTTTTATTTTATTACTAAAAACAAAATTTCGGCTCGTAAAAAAATACAAAGAGCAGAACGGCGGTCGGGGCACGGCGTTCAGTCGATAGGTTGGGTCTGGCTGAGACGGGGGGGGGGGGGCAGGTGATCGACACGCAAAGTGTTGGGAAGCGCTGCTGCTTCATATAAAGTTCAGAAATGTGTTTCGCGTTCAGCAGAGATTCTCCGGGGCGAGCAGACAACACCGCAGTGTCATTAGGCCACATTGTCCGTCCAGAGGATAAACATCACAGGGGGGCCACTGGTAGGGCCAGACCGAGGGGCGTGCAGGGCCTTGGGGAAAATCTCTCTCTCATCATCACCACGGTGGCTAGGAGATGTTAACTACCTCGCCTGGTATGCAGGAGGTCGTGGGTTTAGAAACGTGCGTTTATAGTATTTGGTTGCTGTACATTTCCACACGATACGCCATTTTGTTGAGCTATCGTTTGTGGCCAGGCCGCTTCTGAAAAAGAGCTGCTCAGCTCAGTGGGCTTTACCTGGTAAAATAAAAAAATATATATTTTAATAGTTTAAGTGCCCCCAATAGTCCCGCACACTCCGACAAGGAGACACTAAACGTGCCAGTCTTGAGCCAGGCCCAACTGGGATTACACTCGGCAATCGTCGCCTTCCCTGCCCCCCCTCACCCCCCCCCCCCCCCCCATCTATGGGGAGGAATGTTGCCACGTTTTGTAGGCCAGGAGCCCAGTCACCTCGTGCCACTAGGGGGACGGGGGGGGGCGGTGGCGTTTGAAATGTGTCGAGATGAGACGCGACGTGAAGCGCTTCAGGGAGACCTCGGGGCAACGGAATAGGGGCGGCTCTGTCTGACGCGAATCGCGACCGCGATGGGTGCTCCTGCCGATGGCTAAGGCCAAGGCCCCGCCATCGTCAATGTCAGCGCGCGTGTCAATATTCGGTTTTTAGCGTCTGTTGAGAGGGTGTACGGGGCCCGACCGGGCGGCGACATCGTACAAGTCGTTGAAGGACTTTCTCCGCAAGCTCCGACGGTTCCCCTTGTCCATGATTTTCTGAAATAAAAAAGTTATATTTATAAACGATTTTTTACAAACACGCTTTTATGAAATGTACGAGTCATGGAAGAAGTGGCCCCGAAGCTTGCCACAACGTAAGGGACCGTGGACAATTAGACCCAAGCCGAAACATAACATATAAAAAAGAATGTTTAAAATATATCTTTTTAATTTTTTATGATAGAATATAGTATTGTCATCAGTATGACATAAGTATACCAAGTTTGCAGTCGATAGCACATTGGGAAGTGGGTTAAAATTGAGTTACAAGATTTGAGGATACAACAACGACAACAGACAGAGTGAGTTAAATGAAACCGTGTAAAAAGACACGGGCGGAGGAGTCACAAACGCCACCAATGCGATCGCCGCCATCATGATTTCACGCACCTCTCTGGTCTGGAGAAGGGTCAATGCACGAAACGTCACCCGTTATATATGATTAATTTTAAGATAGCGAAGACAAAGATCCCTGATTTAGCCTTAGACCAGGGGTGGGGAACGTCCGGCCCGCAAAATCATTTCCTCTGGCCCTGCCAAGGCAACCGCAGGCGGGACTCGAAATTCAATAAATCTAGGAGCAAACCTGGAAAAGCAGTTGCGAGTAGCAGCAACATCATCAATACCAGCTAACATCACACGCCTCGCCAAAGAGAAGCAGTTCCAGCCATCACATTAAGGGTTAGTTAATGAAATGTTTGACTAAATATAACAGGCACATTTTAAAGTTGATAATTTTGTATGGCCCGCGAATGATGTTCTAAATATCCAAATGGTCCTTGGCAGAAAAAAGGTTCCCCACCCCTACCTTAGACTGTGGGTGGCAAGTGCTGTTAGCGAGCACCTATGAAGGCCGGCACAGCACACAAGGGGGTGGGTGGCCAGCACCACGCCCGGCCGCCTTTGGCCCCCCAGTGGCGATGTTTTACACACCGCACCAGGTACTCATTTTGAGGCTGAGTCGACCTAGGGGAGACCTAGGACCGATTAAAATATTAATCACTGCTATGATGGTCGTGAGTGGGAATCGAACTTGGGTCGCCGGGATCAAAGCCACCGCTCCCATAAGACAAATAAGCCCCGTATAGCTTTTAACAGACTGTTATGGCAAGTGCTGTTCGCGAGCACCTATGAAGGCTGGCACGGCACACAAGGGGGTGGGTAGCCAGCACCACGCTCGGCCGCCTTTGTCTCCCCAGTGGTGACGTTTTCCCACCGCACTCGTCACCGGCGTTGGCCAATAGCGGGAAATCGAACTCGGGGGACCCGGGCTGCACTGCCGCTCCCCATAATTGTAAGACCACACACACCCACACACGGTGTGAGTGATGAATGTGTCAGCTTGTTATTCGTGCTTTTGCGGCCGCTGCCAACGCGGCGAGGTCAGCTCCCTGACATGGAGGCCTCGTGCCCTCTGCTGGCAAATTTGTGATGTGCTGCACGCAACGAGACTGGGGTGTTCATGGAGGGTTCTTCTCGTCCGTAACGTCTGCCAGCCCGGCAGGCAGTTGCCTGACAGTGCCGATGAGACCCAGAGGAGGCGAAAACGGTTGCAGGGCGTCCCTTCTGCTCCTTAAACGATTGCCACTGGAAAGCATTCGTCCAGAGGTCCCATTTGATCTCATGGGTCTAAAATGTGTTCCGATAGCAATGAAACATCCGGTATATTATCGTGCCATCGTTCCTACGGCGCAAGGCTATCGCAAACGTTTCGCAGCTAGAGCCTGCAGCAGCTTCACCAGGAGGGGGAGGGGACGACGTTGCTGTGCGTCATCCCAATCGAGTATTTTCCAGGGGACTCAGTCCTGTCCAATTTCCTCAATGACGCCGGTGGTGCGCAAATGTCACGGTTCCCCTTTACGAACGACATCACAGCATCGTGAGCGTGAAAGTGCGAAGCGGGCGGTGACTACTTTGTTTGCGCCAAACAACTTCTGTGGCCTGCCGAGTTCCAACCGCGAACCTCTCCGCGAGCGGTTCGAACGCGGTGCCGCTGATCGGCGCCACCGCCCCGGTGCACCGCCGATTAGCACGGGTTGGCTACGTGCGGTGCGAGAGAGGATCAACATACACACGTACTGCCCATAGACTCAATACTGCCCATAGACTCAACACTGCCCATAGACTCAACACTGCCCATAGACTCAACACTACCCACAGACTCACACTGCCCATAGACTCAACACTACCCATAGACTCAATACTGCCCATAGACTCACACTGCCCATAGACTCAACACTACCCATAGACTCACACTGCTCAAAGACTAACACTGCCCATAGACTCACACTGCTCAAAGACTAACACTGCCCATAGACTAACACTGCCAATAGACTAACACTGCCCATAGACTAACACTGCCCATAGACTAAACACTGCCCATAGACTAACACAGCCCATAGACTAACACTGCCCATAGACTAACACTGCCCATAGACTAACACTGCCCATGGACTCAGCACTGCCCATAGACTCAACAATACCCATAGACTCAACAATACCCATAGACTCAGCACTGCCCATAGACTAGCACTGCCAATAGACTAACACTGCCCATAGACTCAATACTGCCAATAGACTCAACACTGCCCATAGACTCAATACTGCCCATAGACTCAACACTACCCATAGACTCACACTGCCCATAGACTCAACACTACCCATAGACTCACACTGCCCATATACTCACACTGCCCATAGATTCACACTGCCCATAGACTAGCACTGCCAATAGACTAACACTGCCCATAGACTCAATACTGCCCATAGACTCACACTGCCCATAGACTCACACTGCTCATAGACTAACACTGCCCATAGGCTAACACTGCCCATAGACTCAACACTGCCCATAGACTCAGCACTGCCCATAGACTAACACTGCCCATAGACTAACACTGCCCATAGACTAACACTGCCCATAGACTAACACTGCCCATGGACTCAGAACTGCCCATAGACTCAACAATACCCATAGACTCAACACTGCCCATAGACTAACACTGCCCATAGACTAACACTGCCCATAGACTAACACTGCCCAAAGACTCAACACTGCCCATAGACTGAACACTGCCCATAGACTAACACTGCCCATAGACTAACACTGCCCATAAGCTAACACTGCCCATAGGCTAACACTGCCCATAGACTAACACTGCCCATAGACTCAACACTGCCCATAGACTAACACTGTCCATAGACTCAACACTGCCCATAGACTAACACTGCCCATAGACTAACACTGCCCATAGACTAACACTAGCCACAGACTAACACTACCCATAGACTCACACTACCCATAGACTCAACACTGCCCATAGACTCAACACTGCCCATAGACTAACACTGCCCATAGACTAACACTGCCCATAGACTAACACTACCCACAGACTAACACTACCCATAGACTAACACTACCCATAGACTCAACACTACCCATAGACTCAACACTGCCCATAGACTAACACTGCCCATAGATTCAACACTGCCTATAGACTAACACTGCCCATAGATTCAACACAGCCCATAGACTCAACACTGCCCATAGACTCAACACTGCCCATAGACTCAACACTGCCCATAGACTAACACTGCCCATAGACTAACACTGCCCATAGACTAACACTACCCATAGACTAAAACTCCCCATAGACTAACCGTTTCAATGCCCTGCTGCTGCGGTCCGGCCAAGGGGACCCCCTGGCGGCAGCTGTTCCTGCGCAGCACAAGCTGAACGCAAGTGCCGTCCTGTCAGCGGCCATCAGCTTTTCCCCGCGGAATCCTGTGTGCAGCCGGCGCTGGCAGAACTGGCCATAGCCCAACGCTTGGCTCATGCAGGGGAGGGCGTGGAGGGATTGGGGGAGGCGAGTGAAGTGTCCACGCACCTTGAAGTCCCCGCGGAACGTGGCGAGGCTGGAGAGGAGCAGCTTGGGCGTCTCTCCCTTCAGGCTGAACTTCACCCTCAGCCTCTCCCACTCGGCCCCGATCTCGCTCTCGCCCCTTTCCAGCAGCTCCACTTTCTGCGTCCACTCCTGAAGCAGCGGGTGCCACGGGGTTAAGGGTCACACGGGGGTCAACGATCGGCAACGCGCGTGGGGGACACCTACGTCGACGGTTAAACGGTCACGTGCGGCACCGGCCCAGCAGAGGGCTCGCAAACATTCGTAAACAAACGTCGTGAACAGAGTGTGGTGTGTGTGTGTGTGAGACCCATTCTGTGAACACATCGTGGGCATAAGAATCGACTTGGATCAATCAATCGCTGCTTGCACTGAAAGTGCTGAGGCTCCAACGGCTCCATGCCGCGCACCTCCGAATAGCACGGTTGGCTACGTACGGTGCGAAAGAAGTTCAACATACATTTACTGGAACTTCCAAGGATATCTAATGTCACACCACCCGAACCAATCCGTTGAGAAGGATATTTGCATCGTTTTGGAGAACAATCCGTGGGGCTCGGTGTCCGGTAATGAGTTGAGGTCGCCTTCCAGTTTCGTGATGTCCGCCCGGAGAGACCGGATCACCGATGTCAGATTCTCGTCGTCGACTGTGAAAAAGAAAACGGCATCGTCGCAACGTCGTCAAAACTTCCGTTACCGCCTTCCCCCCCGCGAGACGGATGAACACCGAGACCCCTGCCACCCCCCGCTCGACGCCGGGTGGCACGACCACGCTCTCACAGTGAAACGAAAAGCGAAACGTAAACAAACGTCACTTCACCGAAGCCTCGTCGACACTGAAGCCTTTCGCGAGCGAGCTAGCATCACAGCGGTGGATCAACGGGCGAGTGGGCTCGTGAACCAGAGACGTACATGACCGAGAGGCAAATGGATTGGTGGTAGAGGGAGATGGTGGGCCAGAGATCTAGATGATTAGCAAAGCAGTAGGCGAGTCCTAGGCTGTTGTGGCGGCGTGCAGGTAGGCCCGTCGGGCACCTCTTGTGGCTTTGTCAACAGGCTCGAGCTCCGTGATGATGTTGAGGATGTCGGGGTGGGATTTCTGGCATTCTCTGACCACCAGGTCCAGGAGGGTGCCGCTCTCAGCGGGATCCGTCATCTTGACGGAGTTGATCTGTTGGGGCGACAGCACCGGCAAGTTAGCACCTGCTCCAATTCACAATCTCAATCGTACACACTGTACGGTAATGTGCATATACGTAGCGACGTGTAACAAAAAATTGCGGCTCAGGATGCTTTACAAAAATTAGAGATATAAAAAATATATATTTTGGGGCAGAAGGAAAACGTGGCATAGGTCACGGAGACCAGGGAGTGGGACTATGAGACTGAACGCAGTTTAACAGGTAGGCTGTCGCAACCAATATTATCCATAAGAAGTTTTTTTATGGGTTAGATCGCATAAATATAAATGCGTCGTTAAACCCGCCACCACCTGACACAACCAATTAGTAATGTTTCTCACGTAAACAAAACACTCGTAACGAATTGGCAGGTTCTGTTTACGTGACAAACCTTACTAATTGGCTGTGTTGGGTGTTGGCGGGTTAACAACATTTATATTTACGCGATCTAACCCAAAACACCTCTATTATGGACATGGAACGCGTTCATGGGCATTGTTGGCCTGCTATCAAGTAAACCTTGTTGTTGTTGACCCTGTGGCATCGTTCAAATTGAGAACGCCACCATGCGGTCGTCTTTGCGGTCCAGATCACGAGCATGTAATAATAATAATACAGGTAGGAACAATATGTTCCACACTGCCCACCAGGGATTATTTGTCTGTCTGTCGTGCATATTTGTCTGTCGTGCACGAATGCGCTGTGCAACCAAGTTCCTACCTGCCCACTCCGAAGGAACGTGTTTTAAATCCATTAAGAGCCCTTAAACAATCGTTCTTAGGGCACTATGCATGGAAAGGCGGAAAATAGTTTAACATCAACCGAGGGAAGAAGAGAAGTGAGAAAGACGTTTTGAAAATAACGAAAGAGAGAAAATCTAGATTTGAAGTTTTCGTGACTGCAGGGATCCATACTCTTTGGTTCTTTCGGTAAAGTCGAGATTTTGAACGTGACTTTACCGAATGGCAAAGGCGTCGTCACCCCCAAGTGTCAAGCCTGGAGACCCGTGGTGACAGTGAGCATCGCACAATCCGATGGAATAATACGACTGAAGGAGGTCACGAATGTCGGTCCATTTAAGGCCTTGAATATACGTATGAGTTTACAACGTTGGTTACCGTTGACGAAATGATACTAATATACAAACACCCAGCTCTGACATTCTGTGACTCTGTGATTAATGCGGCACGGATTGATCGAAGTGCGTCACGTGACCGCGAGCAAGCAGCCAACCAGAGGTGCGCCCCTCCCAAACATGTACGCCCCCGGATTGGTTGAAGTGCGTCACGTGACCGCGAGCAAGAGACGGGTGAGTGAGAGTGAGGCAGAGCCGTGCTCCGTCCACTGCTGCCCTGAGGGAGTGCCGACAATACAGCCTCCTTCCCATAAGTTTGTTTTTTGTGTGTGTGGAGAGACAGACATGGCAAGGAGGCGTATTGTATGCTTCGTTAGATTGTATATGAACGAGCCTCATTGAATTTGTGCGAAGGAGAGAACCAATCTTTGAATCAGTTGAAGAGGACCGTCAACAGCAGCAGCAGTATCGTAATCAATCCACTGCTGGATGAAGGCCTCCGTAAACCATCCTATGGCCTAACCCTAATTGGCTGCCACTCTGTTCTGTTATTGGTCCCGGCCGGTGTTAAAGGGGCAGATCGTGAAACCAACTTGAATCACAGGACCGCCAACAGCACCCGCAACCTGACGTCAAACGGGACCCGAATTCCACGACGGTTTAGAGGTTCTGTGATATCCACTTTCTGCGGTCCGTTTTCCAACAAACATTTAAGAACCGAGTTTAATTGCTGCAGTTGGCCGGTCAAAACGTGAATTTGAACTCAGGGTCTCGGCGGTGCCGGCTCAGCATCTCTGTTATTTAAAATGAATATGTTATGTTTCATATATACCAAGTGTTGTGCATTCATTGCAAAGTGTTCTGAGACTCCGCCAACCCATGACCCCCCACCCCCACCCCCCGCCCCCCGCGTGGGACCTTGTCGATGTCGCAGAGGTTGATTCCGTAGGCAGGCGCCGAGGTGGGGCCCTCGTTCAGGAAGTTGAGGATGAAGAGGAGCAGCTGGGCCAGCTGGGCCAGGCCTTGGCTAGAGACGACCGCGCTCAGGGCCGCGAGCACGACCTCCTGCTCATTCCGAGCCTGGTCGAGCACCTCGGCGCGGGTGAAGTGGAAGCGCAGGCAGCGCAGGCGCTCCGACAGGTGGCCCTCTTCCACGAGCTGAGGTCACACGGCCACAGAGATACAACCACGGGGTCACAGAGGCACGCGGCACAACCACGGGGTCACAGAGACACGCGCGGCACGAGTACAGAGACACGAGCAGCACATACACAGGGACGCACACGCACGCCGCCACGAGGTCACACACACATGTAGCTCAGCACCCAGGCCTCTCAGGACCATGGGCCCCGGTGCAGTTGCACCGCCTGCGCACTCTCTGGCTACGCCACCGACTCGCCGCTTCTAAACTGGGCTCTGCGAAGAATCGCCGTGTCGCTGCGTCGATGTTTACTTCGGGTGTTGGTGGCTGGGCCTCTAGGCTTGCCTAGATGCCCGTTGATTGGTTAAGTGGCCGCCCTCAGTCGTTTCCAATGGTGAGTGATAACGTCTGGCGCTGGGTGGCTTAGAGGTCAGAAACACTGAATCAGCACCAATGAAAAACTGGGTTAAAATCCAGGTTTCAATCGCCTGTCATTAAACCAGGTTCTCAAGTGTCGTGAGTTGATGGTCTCAGCCCGGTCACCAACGACTTCACAAGACCCTGATCATGTGAAATCTACTTCTGCACTCAAATCTTTTGCAAATTCCAGCTCTGGACAATGATATATCTTAAGTCGACCGCCTTGCAATGAACATTCACTCTCGTACGGTGGCGGCGCTTTGGAAAGCGCTGCCCTCTGCTATCTGGACCAGAGGGTCACTTAAGGAAGGGGTCTCAGAGGTAGCTCTGTGATATCCGCTTCCCACGAGCTGTGTTCCCTGTGACGCCACACAGGGTCACGCCGCTCTGCGCGTGTGTCACGAAAGGATACTTCCGTCTCGTGATAACGCGAAGCTGCTGGCGCAACCGCGATAAACTTGGGGGGAATTACCAAAAAACTATAAACATGCTGGTCTGTTGTTTTTGTTTAGTTTTTTTTATTTGTGCAGGGAATGCGGGGTAAGGGGTGGGCGAGGGTTACCTGCAAATAGAAGAACTCCATCTTCTGCAGCGGAGCTCCGTTGCCCTGCTTATCTTGCAGCGCCTTCTTCTGCTTCTCTGTTACGCTCTGCAACTTCTCTATCAGGCCCTGCGAGAGCACAAAGCGACGCGCGCCATCATCACTCGGGCCACGCAGGCCATTACCCAGGCCACAACGCCGACACGGAAGGCCACACCAACACGTGGGCCAAACCAACAGATGAGGTCACACCAACAGATGAGGTCACACTAACACAACGACCACAGCAGCTACACCAGTTCAGTCAGGATCGATATGTATGTTGAACTTATTTTCCACCATACGTAGCCAACCGTGCTAATCGGAGCTGTGGCGGATGGACAACAAACTAAACACAGAAAGCAGTTCGAAAGAAATTAGTTTTCAATATAGATTTAAAAGTGCATAGCTCTCGTGGCTTCCTAATATTCGAAGGAAGAGCGTTCCAGATGGCCAGAGATCATGACAACAAGCGGGTCAAACTGGCTCATATGATGCACCAGCAGACCACACCAACTCACCACCACCGCTCGGTTTACCTGAAAGTTTTTAATCCCGGAGAGGAAGGCCATGTCACCCGTCAGGATGGCTTTTATGAAATCGTTGTCCGACACCTTCACCGATTTTCTCAAGATTTCTGTGTGTATGGTGGTTCCAGGGCAGGGTGGGGGGGGGGGGGGATAGGGGGGTCAGGTAAGAAGACTCATTGAATCTCAACACTCGTTGTCAGTTTGAGTCTGGCAAAAACAAATTGCACTTTCTCCTACATTCTGTTAAAGCTTCACGAGGGAATCTTTGACCTTGTATGGGAGATCATTCCATTGGGTTGAATCTTCAGATAATTGTGGATGTTTGGCCGATTACGTTCATGTTTGGTTTCGCGGTGGACGAGACCGTAGCACCCAATAGAACGCACATCAACTCAAACCATTTCCTGGGTAAACTAATCTGGCATGGTGACTTACTGTAAGCTATTGTTCATGCAGCCTTACACAAGAGAGAGGGTTGTGGGGTTATGGGTCTGTGGGTGGCCGGGAGGTGGCACAGTCGTAACACCTGTGCCTCGCAGTAAAAATCGCCTGGGTTCGATTCCCATCTCAGGCAACTCTCTGTATGGAGTTTGTATTTTCTCCCCCTGTACTGCAATGGGTTTCCTCAGGGTTTTCCAATTTCCTCCCATAGCTAAAACCCCCCTCACAAAACCAGATCCCCAGTCAGTTGAGGCGGGACCTCTTTCAGTCATTTTATTCCATCATGATCATTAAGATCCTCGGATTGTGCGTTGCTCACTGTCACCACGGGTCTCCAGGCTTCACACTTTGGGGTGACGACGCCTTTGCCATTGCGGCACCTAAAGGGACTTCAGCGACACTTGCACATCTTCAAATCTCGACTAAGGAAACGAATCTGTTTAAAATGGCTTTCTCTCTTTACTCTTTGTTTTTTTTGGTAAAGTCACGTTCAAAATCTCGACTTTACCGAAAGAACCAAAGAGTATGATCCCTGCAGTCACGAAATCTTCAAATCTAGATTTTCTCTCTTTAGTTATTTTCAAAACGTCTTTCTCACTTCTCTTCTTGCCTCGGTTGATGTTAAACTATTTTCTGCCTTTCCATGCATAGCGATAGACTCCTGAAATTTTAGCCAGCCCAGGACGATGTCGCTCGGCTGGCCTGGGAACGCCTGGGAATTCCCCATGAAGAGCTCGAGTCTTTAGCCAGGTAAAGGGACGTCTGGACCGCCCTATTCAACACACTGCTGTCGCGACCCTCATCAGGACGAGCGGATTGATAAACGAACGAACGAAGAGATCCCCCAATGTTGAAAAATCAAACGACTACATTTGGATGACACACAGAGCAGGCGACTTCACCCCTTCCTGTTAAAACTTTGCAGGACCCTCCTGAAAACGAATCCCGATTCTCAGTGTGGCTTTTCCTGGGCAAGGCAAGCGGAAACAAATAATAATAACAGCGGCTTCTCTCACCGAGATTTTGTAATAATTGTGTGCTGAAGACGGATCCCTCACTGGGGCTTCCGGACGGAGATGGCAGTGGCGAAGATCCACTTGAGGATGGCTGGAATATGGGCACTCCCAGCGATGTCTTGGCTGCAACAACAGCAGCAGAGGGAACCGTTGACCTCACGATTCCACGACACCATGAACCCGCGAGAAATTGCCCCGTGGCAATGCGAGTACGATTCGCGCGCGGAAAACCGTGACCGCGAGATCCCATGAACGGGTGACACAATGGCCTCATCACAACGTTAACTGGTGACCTCGTGGCCCCTTGACTTCTAATCAACGGCTCTGACCTGCAAAGGTCCGCAGGAGCCGGTCCTTGAGGTCGGAGTTTTCGAATTGTTTCTCGTTCGCGCTGCTCCATAGGCTCTCCTTCTTTATGTCACTCGGTACGATCTACATCAACACACACACACCGATGCATCAACACACCATCAACGCACACCAATAAATCACTACACACACCAATATATCAACACACACCAATACCTCAACACACACACACTGATGCATTAACACACAAACTCCAACACGTAAAAACGCGAACACACAAATACACCTGACTGAACACCAAAGCATGACTGAATAACTGCACCAATGACAGACTAACTGCATGAATCGCCGAATAACTGAGTTATCGGATAACTGAACGGACGAGTGAATGAGCCCACACGTCGCGGGACTCACCGTCTTGCACCTCACTCGCTCCGTCGCCCCCTTCTTGTTGTACGGCTTCTTTTCCTTTAGCCACAGGGGCCTCGCGAGCGTCGGTGCCATCCCAGGTATGAAGGCCGGCGGTGGCGGCGGTGGTGACGGGCCCCCCACGGAGGGGTCTTGAGGGGTCAAGTCGAAGATTCCCAGCGAGGGGCGCTGCCCGCTGGCGGAGGGGGTGTCAGGCTGCTGCACGATTACCGGGGGAACCTCGTCCTGACTGGAGGGCCCTGGCCGGACAGAGGCCGCGATTGGGGGGCCGGGGAGACCCGTGTCCCAGGGCTCAGGGGCTGGGAAGGCCGCGATTGGGAGGCCGGGGAGACCCGTGTCCCAGGGCTCAGGGGCTGGGAAGGCCGCGACTGGGAGGCCGGGGAGACCCGTGTCCCGGGGCTCAGGGGCTGGGAAGGCCGCGACTGGGAGGCCGGGGAGACCCGTGTCCCGGGGCTCAGGGGCTGGGAAGGCCGCGATTGGGGGGCCGGGGAGACCCGTGTCCCGGGGCTCAGGGGCTGGGAAGGCCGCGACTGGGAGGCCGGGGAGACCCGTGTCCCGGGGCTCAGGGGCTGGGAAGGCCGCGACTGGGGGGCCGGGGAGACCCGTGTCCCGGGGCTCAGGGGCTGGGAAGGCCGCGACTGGGAGGCCGGGGAGACCCGTGTCCCGGGGCTCAGGGGCTGGGAAGGCCGCGACTGGGAGGCCGGGGAGACCCGTGTCCCGGGGCTCAGGGGCTGGGAAGGCCGCGACTGGGGGGCCGGGGAGACCCGTGTCCCGGGGCTCAGGGGCTGGGAAGGCCGCGACTGGGGGGCCGGGGAGACCCGTGTCCCGGGGCTCAGGGGCTGGGAAGGCCGCGACTGGGGGGCCGGGGAGACCCGTGTCCCGGGGCTCAGGGGCTGGGAACTCGTTGTGGGCCCCACCAGGTGTTTGACGAGGGTGACCTTCATTCTGGGAGGCGGAGGGGGGGGGGAAGTCACCAATGTCGCAATTGTTAATACGTTCTTACGAGGAATGGAATGTTTGACAAGGCGAATACAACATGAATGAAATGTATTTTTCACGCTTGTCAAAACTACGCGGACAAACATTGCGCTGACGATTCAAGTTTCCCGCAGCCTGAGAGGGGAGGGGGGGGGTGCGAAGAGAGCGAAACGTCTTGCCGCTCTTCTGATGTGCAGTTGTGCAAGGGGCGTCGGTACCATCTCTGATCACGAGATGAGTCTCTGTCCGTTTAATCGCAAAACATTTTTCGTCAGATCTCGGGAGCTAAGCTGTGTTTGAGCCTGCTTAGCGCTCGGTTGGGATGATTACTGTGCATAACACAAACCTGTCAACTCCTTATCAGTGCCCTACCTTATTACAGACCAATTCAGACGTTATTGGTCACCCTGTGCCCCTTATAAAGCTCAACGTTCATCCTACAAATTCCAATCACAAGAGAGAAACACACAAATAGACATTTTCTTTGCCTGTCTGGCTGTTCGCCGTATGCAACTGAAAACTCTGTACAAGAGTACGGGTAAACCGAATGGGTTGACAGGTATGGCATAACAATACACACTCCTCACTAACAATGTGTGGCTTAAAAAAAATTAAAGACAGTATATAATGTGCTGAGTTTGGTTGTTATTATTTGAGGTTGTGCATTACTGCAGCAGCAGCGTCAATAACCAAACGATTTGCTTACAGACACACCTTGGAATAAATCATTGTTTGACTCATTTAGACACATCCTCATATCAGGAAGCCATTGACGACGTCCATTGCTTCTACAACAACAACAAAAACCCGCGGGACCGGCTGGGCAAGGGCGGGTTTGGCGGGAGAGTTTTCTTTTTTTCACTTCCCTGTTGTTGCATTTTTAACAAATGTTTTATTATCACGCGGCAATGACGGCCTGGCGGTGATGTTCTTTCCCAGATATGTAAACAATATTTAACAAATGCATAGCTGGAAACTCCTTATCAGTGCCCTACCTTATTACAGACCAACTCAAACCTTATTGGTCAGCCCGTGCCCCTTATAAATATCAACGTTCATCCTACACAAAGTCCCATCACAAGGGAGAAACACAAACAAATAGATACAAACTAAATTTTGCCCCGTATTGAAACGGCTGTAGGCCGTATGGACTTGAAAACTCAATTTCCACCGTACAAGAATACGGAATAAACCGCATGGGTTGTGAAGGGTGAGATAATATAAAAATAAACCCTGTCTCTTTACGACTGCCTGTGACCTCCGGGTGATTTTATGGCGAAGTTCAGGTCGGTTTCAAGATACAAACATAAGCATTGCTTAATCAAGTTCCCGTGCTGAGGTGAATTCACCTCGGCGGTGAATTCACCTCAGAGTAAATGTATCTCGTTCCAAACATGTGCAAAAATGTACGTCATGCGTGTTGGTGAAGGTGGGCGGCATAGACGCGAGGGCATAGAAAGTGCGGTACAACAATGGATTTGTAAACTTCCCGCCACTGCCCACCACGTCGCGCCTCGTGAAACACGTGATACACCCGAAGACGTGGAGCCCGTCCAAGCCTGTGCTTCGGCTCAAAGCGGAGGCTGGCGGGGAGACGGCATGGTGCGATGGGATGAACAACATCGACGGCGGAAGACCTCTCCTCCATCCTGGGAGTGAGCTCTTCGTGTGCTGCAACTGTGGCCTAAAACCTTTCATCGCGCCACGTGAATTCATCTCATCTCCACTACACAGGGGCTGAGTGTCGGGTGTATCGGGCAAGCTGAGGTGTGTACCCACTGAGGTTGGTCCTCAGGGGAGTTATGTGTCCTCAGGTTCCGCGCGTTTAACTTCCCCCAAGCCACCGCCTGCACCGTTTCCGAAATCTTCGGGAGCGGAGGGCCCGTCTGCCCGGCCGACTGCTCTTCGTGAGGAGCCGGGCTCGTCAGAACATTTTCAAATCCCCCCCCCCGGGACCCTCAGGGAGCTTACGCTCACTTCGCCTGGGGACCCGGCCACAAGGACTCGTTCCAAGATTGTTCAGTTTTCGTGACTCCCACACACACACTCCCACGCCGTCAGTTGGTTGTCGCACCCTTCATGTCGTATTGGTCATTGGCTGAACCTGGTCTTTATTGTGCTTGCGGGTGTTGCTACACGGTGAGGGTGGGTGATGCTGGTGCTGGAGGGGGTCCCGAGGTTTTGTGTGTTACCGCGTGTTTTTCTCTTCCTTTCTTATCTCTCTCTTCCCTTCTCTTTTCTGTTGTGTTTTTGTCTATTGTTCATTCTGTACTTCTGTTCCCTTTCCCCGTTCATCACGGTATATATATATTGTAGATATTGTCGATATGGGATGGGGTATTTATTTGTTGAGGCACACTAAGGGGCCTTGTTTTGCTGAGGGGGAATTTACAGCCGGGACGGCTGAGTTTTACGAAGGGGGGAGGGGTGATGTAGTGACATCGTTGGATGTCACCATGCTGTGGGTGCAGTACCGGCCCTAGAGGGGCAAGGCGTGCGCTGAATAATAGCGCTGGATGGCACCACGCGTTAAGTGCAGTGCTGACCCTACAGGACAGGGTGTGTGGGTGCCAACCGAAGGATAGTGTGAGGCCATGGCAGTCTGATTGACCCGGGAGGACACGTGACCGGTTAAGTTTACAGAGGGGCCCCAAGAGGGAGCTAGGGGAGTCACGTGATTGGGACCCAGATCCTTCCTGAGGTTTCTAGAAGGTGGACGTGGCCAAGGGCGGAGCCGGCCATGCCACAGAGAATAAAAGCCGGGTCCCAGGAGGGACCAGGGTTGTTGTTCATCCTGGAAGAAACCCTTAATCTATGATCTCCGTTCAACGAGTCTCCAACACGTGGACCCGGGCCCAAGTCGTTGGTCACGGTCCGTAGTAGCAGTCACGTGGTAACTAGTGTAGTTAGCCGGGTGGTCACCACCTTAGGTTGTTATTCTGTTTAGGGGAAGTTACCCCGTGTTTTGGAACTGAATAAATGTGTTGCCTCCACAGTATACGTCTGTGGAGGCAACACATTACAGAATGATAGTTTTGAAAAGTTAAGTTTTTTTGTTTAATACCGATGATATGGTAAAAGTACGCGCGGTGACTCTACTCACGATCTCGCCGGCCAGTTGTTCCCGGGAGCGTCTTTGAATGAAAGTTTAAAAAAGATTAGTTTTAGTTTAATCCCGATGATACGGTAAAAAGTTCGCGCGGTGACACTACTCACGTTTTCGCCGGGAAGTGGTTCATAGCCGTCGCCCGCAGGGCAGGAGCACCACGAAGGGCAGCAGGAGCAGCAGTTGCCCATGACGTCCTTCGGACGAACCTCGCTCTCTCACTTCACTGCTGCGTCCACGGAGACAGAGACGGGGGGGGGGGGGTGAATTCAGGGCCTCAGTGATGTTTTTTTTCACGACATTATATTCATAAAAAAAAAGATTTTGTATTTTTACCGGGTAAGGCTCTCCCCCCTCCCCCTCACTGAGCTGCTGTGTAAGAGCTCTTTATTGTTCAGAAGCGATCCGGCTATCGCAAATGATATCTCAACGAAGTGGGCTCATCATCATCATCGTCACGTGGAAATTTTATAGCCGGAGCCCAAATACTTTAAACACGTGCCCAAGTGAGCATTGATGCGGCCATTCTCATCTCCCGCCGTGCTGGTTGCAGCTCTAAACCAAATCCGGAAAGTTCACGTTCCTATGGCGGGGGCGAGTCCATCCATGGGGCATGAAGTGGAACCTATTTTATCAACCATCCCCGCACGATGTATGATGGGCTAAGTCAACCCCCACACAACTAATTTGAATAATCAGGACGGCCAAACATTGAGTTTCCACCTATATACAGTAAATGTGTTAGTCAATCAGCCTGGTCCAGTGGTTCTTCAACTTTCCTGCAGCGTTCCACCCCTTTGCTTCTCAATTGTTTAAGTTGTTTATAATGTGAATGAAACAAAATTAAGTTGAACCTTACGTGCATTTAAATTTCGATTTAAAGCTTTCGTGACTGCAGGGATTTATCTTCTTGGTTCTTTCGGTAAAGTCACGTAGAAGGGAAATAATAAAATAATAAAAATTAAACATAATAAAATAATTCTCACGACGTTTCGGCCACAACGCAAGCAGCCGTCCTCAGGTGAAGAACAGGTCTGTCGGAAAGACAGCGTCTGAATGAACACCACCAGGTGTACGCTGCCAAGCCTGGTGGTGTTTCATTCAGACGCTGTCTTTCCGACAGACCTGTTCTTCACCTGAGGACGGCTGCTTGCGCTGTGGCCGAAACGTCGTGAGAATTATTTATTATGTTTAATTTGTATTATTTAATTACTTACATGCACCGTGCTTAATTTAGTGTTTTCAATTATTTACCTTCTACAAACTAATATCTGGCCATGCCTCAAACCCCCGTAAAAGGGCATCTCGCACAACTCAGGAGGAGGTGGTGGTGCGTGCACCCCCCAGATTAAGAAGAATAATCAGTGGCCCGGTAGCTTTCCACGCCGGTTTGACCCTTCCACTCGGGTCAGCGTGGAATGTCTGGGGACACCCGCTGGGCCGACGCTTCCAAGCACATTGCAACGTCGGTATGCTCACTGGGCAATCGTGTGCCGGACGTTAAATAAGTAACCACAAACCAATACTCATGTATAGTGCTGTACACACACTCATTGTGCTCTACGGCAAACACAAACACGCACAAGTTCGTTGTTCCGGTGTAAACACAAGGGGAGAGGGAAGGATGCAATCAGCTGCATGATCATTAGCATCTCGTGATCGTGAAGAGGTGGCAGCGGCTTTGGGAATTGACCGTGGCTGATGATGGCGTGGGGAGGCCTCCATCCAGCAGTGGAGTGACCGTGGGCGATGATTATGATGACGGTGACAATGGTGACGAATTAAAACCCCGAATCGCACGCGCACACAGAGAGAGCCGGAGTGACCCATCGGGCAATCAATCACTGAGCGGCGTTCAGCGCGCATGCAAATTAGCAACAACACACAGAACAAGCACCCTTAACCACCGCGTTCATTACTTCGCAAACCACGAACACTTTCGTTCGCACAGACAGAGAGAGTGGGAGATGGAGAGACTTTTTGACTTTTGAAACAACTTCTATTGCCGCCAGCAGCAACTGCACTGGAGGCGATTCCGATACGAAATACACAAAGTCACCAGCAAACAAATGAAAACAAACGCTGTAAATCCACGCGCTGTGGCGCTAAATGCAGCGCGCACAACACGAAAGAAAAGCCACGTGGTGGTGGTGGCGGTGGTGGTCATCGCGCACGCCACGGTGACGAGCGAACGCTTCAGAAGGTGAACACGAGGGTGCCGTCCACGCTGGTCCAGAGAGAGTGGGAGATGGAGAGAGAGATGGAGAGAGACAGAGAAATGTAGAGAGAGTTTCTCACCTGCAGAGCCCGACACCCGGGAGGACTTGCACGTGTGCCCGACTGCAAGGTGAATCGAGTCGCGCACCTCTCTCACTCACTCACACTTCACAGACAGAGCTGAAGTCAGCTGGGCGACTCGTGACATCTCGTTGGGTGGAGGGGGAGGGAGGGAGGATAAGGGGAGGGAGGATGACGGGAGGGGTTCGTGAGAAGTGTGTAGGAGCGTGGGCGCAGTGGCGTAGTGTCGACATTATCAGCTCGGTGGGTGGTGACGTAATCGTCCAGGTGAGGCTCCTACTGCGCGATTTGTCTCGCAAGGTCGCACCGAGAGGCGATTTCATCTCGCGGCCTCCTCTTCCTCCCCCCCCCCAGTGGCATCGTCGGTGCGCTCACAGCCTCGAACGTGTAACGCATGAAGTTGGTTGACGCTGTTGTTGAAAATTCACGATGTAACACGATTTTTGTCCCTGGGTAGTAAGTGTTATTTTCTAATTGCTCATGCCTCAAAAGTATAGAAAGTGGCTGTTATTATTCCCCCACAAACTTTTTTTTGTGGCCAGGACTTTACGTGAAGGAATGACACAAATGCACACCACGTTTTCTCATTGAAAATAGGTAAATCTAAAAATAATCACTGTCCTGGTCACAAAAGCAAAGTTTTCGGGGAATAATAGCAGCTTTCTGTACTTTTGAGGCATGATCAATTAGGAAATAACACTTACTACCCAGGAACAAAATGTTTTTTTTTTTATTGTCAAAAGGGGGCCCAACTCGTAGCTTTAGCCAGGGGGGGAGGGTGGAGGAGACTAGTGGGGGGGGGGGGGCACACAGAGAGTGGCCCACAAAGTCCCCTTAGCAGGATGGGGCACCGGGACATGATTTGAATCATAATTTTGGGGGAAGATCTGAACTGATGTGGACTGCCCCCGAAAGCCCAGACCTGGCAGCAACAACAACAGCATCATCATCATCAACGACATCCACAGAATCACGTGACGATCCTCTTCAGAGGAAGTTAAAAATTAAAAAGCGCACCTTTTACTTGTAAGTTCCACAAAATATCGCGGAAATCCAAAAGACACGCAGCTGCGGCGAAACCGCCGCTGTTGCAGTTGTGCCGCGTACAACAAAAACAAAAAAACCGAAATGATGAACGAAGCAAAGTGCGGACTACATCGAGCATCTTCTTGTTTCATCTTGTCGTAAAAAAATAAAAATTAACCCGTAAAAACAAAGTTTTTCACTATAAATCCTTTATATGCGTGGCATCGCGTTTTATTTTTTTATTCATTTGTGTTTTTCTTGAGTAAGAGTTCCATTTTTATAGTGTGTTGACACACATCCAGAATAATTTTCTGTGTTTAGGAAAAATATATGATTGTTAGTGAAAATTTTTTTCCTAAAAAGTGTCACGCACAACGAGTCTGTGTGCAAAATGTCAGCTCGATTGGATCACGGGAAGTGGGTTAAAAAACGACCGAAAGATTTGCACGGTCGTAAGCGCACAAGCAAGCAAGCAAGTGAACTTAATATAAAGGATTTAAAAAGAGAGTGGGAGAGCATCACGCAGAGCTGGTCGAAAAAAGAAAAGGAGAGAGAGGGGGAGAGAGAGTAAGAGACTTTTGACTTTTAAACAACTTTTATTGCCGCCAGCAGCAACAGCACTGGAGGCGATTTCGATATGAAACACACAAAGTCACCAGCAAACAAATGAAAACAAACGCTACAAATCCACGCGCTGTGGCGCTAAAATCACCGCGCACAACACTAAAGAAAAGTCACGTGGTGGTGGTGGTGGTTGTGGTGGTGGTGGTGGTTGTGGTGATGGTGGTTGTGGTGGTTGTGGTGGTTGTGGTTGTAATGGTGGTGGTTGTGGTGGTGGTTGTGGTGGTTGTGGTGGTGGTGGTTGTGGTGGTGGTTGTGGTGGTTGTGGTGGTGGTTGTGGTGGTGGTTGTGGTGGTTGTTGTCGTGGTGGTTGTGATGGTGGTGGTGGTGGTTGTGGTGGTCATCGCGCACGCCACGGTGACGAGCGAGCGCTTCAGAAGGTGAACACCACGAGGTGCCGTCCACGCTGGTGCAGAGAGGGGCTTTTCCGGCTCCCCAGCGCTCGAAGAAGACGCGCTACACATCACCGACACGTGTGTGGTACATGGCGTGCTCCAGCCGGGAGGGAGAGAGAGAGGGGGGTACAACATTTCTCTTTCTTTGTGTCACGCAAAGGAACTTCGTGAACACCCTAAACGGTACCTGGGCGGTTCGTGATATTAAATGTAAGAGGTGGGGCTGAGAGAGAAGGGGGGGGGGTGAAGGGGAATGATGCGTGGGAAGTTACGGGGGGAGGAAGAGGAGAGGGGGTATTTACCTGCATGCCGCGTGACTAAAGGAGTGGGTGGTGAGGGGAGGGGTGCGTGGGTAGTGGGTGGGGGGGTTAGGGAATTTACCTGCATGGCGCGTGACGTTTTGGAGGTGGGGAGGAGGGGGGTGGTGGGTGAGGTAAGGTGAGAAAGCAACTCACCTGCAGAGCGCGTGACACGAAAATCCACGCATCACCAACTAACCCCTGCCACACGGAAGCACAGCAGCATAGCACAACAACGTAATTCCCCTCTGCTGCCCACCCATCCACCTAGCCCCCCCCCCCCCACCTAGCCCCCTCCCATCCTCAGCAGGAAGCCTATAACACCTGTTTCACACGGAGTAGTCGCACCATCCAAGCTCAATATCATGCTCGGCTCGAACATATCACAATTTTTATTCACACCGGAGGAGGAGGAATCCGATGAGCGAGGAAGCTCTTGTCAGAGCCGTTACCGCAACAACACGATACAACACACGCACCATAGGAGGGTGCAAAGTTCAGAAAGGGTGAACAAAAATCACAGACGCGCCGTTGATTCGAATCGCACATCTCGCGATCAAAGGCGGAGTTTGACTTCTATATGTGGGGAGGTGGTGGGCGGGCAAGGGTTCGTTTTCTCCCCTAACATTATGATTTTTTGGTTTTGGGGGGTGCATATGATCAATTTTTAAATCTTACCTGTGTAATGACAGGGGAGGCAGCCTGCAGTACGAATGGACTAGTGGCCACGGGAGGTAATGACAGTGGAGTCAGCCTGCATTGCGAATGGACTAGCGACCACGGAAGGTAAGGACAGGGGAGTCAGCCGGCAGTACGAATGGACTAGTGGCCACGGGAGGTAATGACAGTGGAGTCAGCCTGCATTGCGAATGGACTAGTGGCCACGGAAGGTAACGACAGGGGAGTCAGCCTGCAGTACGAATGGACTGGTGGCCACGGGAGGTAATGACAGTGGAGTCAGCCTGCAGTGCGAATGGACTAGTGGCCACGGAAGGTAACGACAGGGGAGTCAGCCTGCAGTGCGAATGGACTAGTGGCCACGGGAGGTAATGACAGTGGAGTCAGCCTGCAGTACGAATGGACTAGTGGCCGCGTGAGGTAATGACAGGGGAGTCAGCCTGCAGTATGAATGGACTCGTGGCCACGTGAGGTAATGACAGGGGAGTCAGCCTGCAGTATGAATGGACTCGTGGCACGGGAGATAATGACAGGGGAGTCAGCCTGCAGTGTGAATGCACTAGTGGCCACGGGAGGTAATGACAGGGGAGTCAGCCTGCAGTACGAATGGACTAGTGGCCATGAGAGGTAATGACAGGAGAGTCAGCCTGCAGTATGAATGGACTAGTGGCCACGTGAGGTAATGACAGGGGAGTCAGCCTGCAGTACGAATGGACTAGTGGCCACGGGAGGTAATGACAGTGGAGTCAGCCTGCAGTGCGAATGGACTGGTGGCCACGGCAGGTAATGGCAGTGGAGTCAGCCTGCAGTGCGAATGGACTAGTGGCCACGGAAGGTAACGACAGGGGAGTCAGCCTGCAGTACGAATGGACTAGTGGCCGCGGGAGGTAATGACAGGGGAGTCAGCCTGCAGTGCGAATGGACTAGTGGCCACGGAAGGTAACGACAGGGGAGTCAGCCTGCAGTGCGAATGGACTAGTGGCCACGGGAGGTAATGACAGGGGAGTCAGCCTGCAGTGCGAATGGACTAGTGGCCACGTGAGGTAATGACAGGGGAGTCAGCCTGCAGTACGAATGGACTAGTGGCCACGGGAGGTAATGACAGTGGAGTCAGCCTGCAGTGCGAATGGACTGGTGGCCACGGGAGGTAATGACAGGGGAGTCAGCCTGCAGCGCGAATGGACTAGTGGCCACGGGAGGTAATGACAGGGGAGTCAGCCTACAGTACGAATGGACTCGTGGCCACGGGAGGTAACGACAGGGGAGTCAGCCTGCAGTGCGAATGGCCTAGTGGCCACGGGAGGTAATGGCAGGGGAGTCAGCCTGCAGTGTGAATGCACTAGTGGCCAAGGGAGGTAATGACAGGGGAGTCAGCCTGCGGTGTGAGTGGACTCGTGGCTACGGGAATGATCGAGAATGGGAGCGTGGCCAGGTGACAGAAGAGGGCGGTAGAGTCTGCTGGGGGAGCGAGCGTTCTAGAGTCAGTGAGAAGGTTCGGAAAGGGGGGCGTGGCCTCGGTCCGTATGTAAAAGGGAGATGCACGGGAGACTCGGGGCTGTTGCAGTGGGGGTCTCTGCTTGTTCGCGTGAACGTGTCTCTCTACAATAAAGAAACCATCTGAAGACTAAGTGTGTCATCGCACCTGTAAATGACTGAAAATAAATTAACAAAGTTGTCCACTTCGGGCGGGGCGTTACTACCCCCCCCCTCCTCTCCACCATGCTCACAATGACGCCTCCAGTACACGAGATGGATTTTGCTCCAGTCCAACTCCGCTCGCGTCACGGGCGTGGGGTGGGGGTTGGGAGTTAAGAGACTGCCGTGAACCTCAGTGCCAGCGGGGTCCATGGGGGAGCAAGGCGGCGACGGAGGTGGTGGCTCGGGGGGTTGAGACGGGGTAAGACGTGGTGAGGGGAACTGTCGCGACTGTAGAACATGAAGAACCAGTGGCATCTACATCTCCAGAACATGAAGAACCAGTGGCATCTACATCTGCAGAACCGGAAGAACCAGTGGAATATACAACTACAGAACGTGAAGAACCAGTGGCATCTACATCTGCAGAACGTGAAGAACCAGTGGCATCTACATCTGCAGAACGTGAAGAACCAGTGGCATCTACAACTACAGAACGTG